AACCAATTGCCCACAGTCGCGATGGAGAAGCTGTTTACTTTGCCAAAGACCAGTTCCAAGTTGTTTTCAGCGACTCTAGACGCCTCTTAGTCAAGGCAGACCATTTCATTCTGACTTGCTGGTTCTTCGTCGGCCACGGGCCTCATTCAGGGCGGCCTCAGGAAGAGAGAACAACATGGTGGCAATGCACCAATGAGCTCTTGTTAGAACATTTGGATGAAGCCCCATGCTTTTGGCTAGTTGATGCTAATGCAGCACCTGGTGCAGCCGACAACGAGGTAGTCTATCAATCTGGTCTGAAGATCAGCCAACACAGCTTGCTTCCGAGAATCACTCGACAAGTTTGGAATGTGTTTACCCTCCACTACGTGTCTTCATCATGGTCCCAGACATACCTGGACATCAATCGATGGCAACACCTTTCATTGCATCGACTATGTCGCCGTGCCGTCAACATGGTTGCAATCGTGTGTGTGGTCACAGGTTTTGGAGGATTTTGACCTGGCGACGACACGTGATGATCACCAAGTCGTAGGTCTGGAGCTCAATTGGGATGTCGTCGCGACCTACAAACGGGCACCACGAACACATGCGGACACAGAATGGTCCTGCCTTGTGCAACGTGACAGTGCTCGTGGGCGACTTGCAGAAATTGTGGTTCCTTCATGGAAGACTGACATTGAGCTGCACGAGCTCACTGTGAGGCAGCAGATGCAGAAGGCCGTACGAGTCGCAGGTGCCACACCCAAATCCCGACCCAAGAAGGCCTACATTGACGCTGAGACATGGAGCATTCGGACCCAGCTTCTGCAACAACGCAAGCTGCTCAAACGAACCCGAAGAGGTATCGCTCGTGAAGCTCTTTACAAAACCTTTAGGGCATGGTCCGGCGCACTTCCTGCAGCACAAGTAGATCAGTCCTTCAACTACGGTTCGACACTGAGGATTGCGCAAGTGCGCAACATAGCTGGCTACAGGAAGCTGCGCATCTCACTGAGATCACACCTGCAATCAGCCAAACAACGGCTCATGACACAAAGACTGGAGATGGTCAATGAGCACACAGTAGCACACAGCATTCTTCACATGTTGCGTGACTTCACAGGACCGACAAATCCCAAAAAGGCCAAAAAGACCACGCTTCCGATGGTCCACAATCAGAATGGTCTCCCATGCAGATCCACAGCAGAGGCTGCGCAGACTTGGATTCAGTTCTTCTCTGACATGGAAGGTGGACAACGGCAATCAATGGCAGAGCTCCGGCAGGACTGGATCAACAGTCTCCATGAAATGACCCCTGCACACTTCCAAGTTCAAGCTCATGAACTGCCAACGTTGGTGGACCTTGAAGTAGCATTCAGAAGAGTAGCTTGCGGGAAGGCGACAGGTCCGGACAACATTTCCGGAGAGACATGCCATTATGCGCCGGAGAAATGCGCCAGAGCAAACTTTGCTGCAATGTGGAAGTTATGCCTTTTCGGGCATGAGGCCCTGATGCACAAAGGTGGGCTCCTTTCCTTGTCCAAGCATACAAAGGCAAGGGAGATCCCAAACAATGCTCCTCCTTTAGATCATTATTGATCTCCAGCCACATCGGCAAAGCAGTTCATCGAACGCTCCGCACGCATCAAGCAGATGTCTTTGAGAGCTTCCTACAGGCACAACAGCTAGGCGGGAGAAGAGCTATGCCTGTAACATATGGCCTTCATTTGACACGTGCATACATGCGCCAAGCGAAAGAACAAGGACACTCATGCGCAGTGATCCTGCTCGACCTCAAGGAAGCTTTCTACCGCATCCTCAGACCTCTGTGCATGGATGGCCCGCTCACTGATGAGATGCTTGCTTGCCTCATGCACACCTTAAAGATGCCGGAGGATGCTTTGCATGAGCTCAGAAAGATCATTGAGGAGCCTCACGCGCTTCGAGAAGCAGGGTTACCAGAAATGGAACAACGAAGTGTTCGAGCGGTGCATTTGCAAACGCACTTCTGGATGAAGCATCAAACAGATGTCGTGCAGACCCATCATGGTACTAGACCAGGTGACCCATTTGCCGACATAGTGTTCAGCTACGTCTGGGCGCGAGTTATGCATCGCCTTCAACACTTCATGAAACAGCATGATCTTCTCAGCACATTTTCCAGACTCGAACAACTATCGCTTTTTGAACGACCTGACCATGGCTCTCTGCCACTCGCAGATTTTGTTGGGCCTACTTGGATGGACGACCTGGCCATCTGCCTGCAGAGCCCTACGGGAGAAGAAGTTGTACAAAAGGTTGGCATGGTTGCCAGCAGACTTCTAGAGCTCTGCATTGAGCATGGCATGACGCCGAATCTTTCCAAGAACAAGACTGAGGTTCTCCTATCATTTCGTGGACATGGTTCCCGAAAGCAGAAGAAAGCCTTCTTTGGTCCGCATGCATCGAAAAGCCTGCCAGTTGTTACAGAGTATGGCACAATGCATCTGCCCTTGACCACAACCTACGTCCATCTTGGTGGACTTCTTCACCACGCATGTGATCAACGAGATGAAATCAAAAGACGCTTAGGCATTGCCTTCTCTACGTTGAATCACCACAGGAAATTGATCTTCCGCAACTGGGCTCTGCCTCTACAGAAGCGTTGCCAATTGCTGGAGTCATTGGTCCTCAGTAAGCTCCTTTATGGGGCTGAAACATGGGTAGTCACGGAGGAGGCCACAGTTGCACATTTCCATGCGGCAGTTCTACGCCTATATCGCCGGCTATTACCAGTCCCATCTGACCAGCACATGGCTGATGACGAGATCCTGACACTGGTTCACATGCCTAGTCCCATTGAGCTCATCCGTCGGGCTCGTCTACGCTATGTGGCCACTCTACATCATTGTGGAGCACGCCAAGAATGGGGACTTTTGGCCGCAGATACAGCGTGGCAAGCTTTGATGGAAGCCGACCTCGAATGGATGTGGCAGCAAATCCGACATAGTTCGCAAATGCCAGACCCGAGAACCAGCTGGGCAAGATGGAGAGAGGTGCTTATCTTTCACCGATCCTATTGGAGGCGGCTGACGCGCAGGACGTTTGAGCATGCGATCCTGCAACGAGAAAACCGCTGGCGCACGCACGTGTTCTACGAGCAGTTGACCCAGCAACTTCGTGGCACCCTCCAGTATGACCCGCACGAAAGCATGGACACCAAAGAGACAGACATTTTTGGATGCCTGCTCTGCCAAAAACGCTGTCGCAATCGCGCTGGCGAAGCTGCACACATGTTTCGTGCACACCAACATGTGGCGAGACGCCGGCTCCTGATTGATGACACAGTTTGTCCGGCGTGCTTGAAGGACTTTCACACCATGGGCAAGCTGAGTGCGCACCTCTATTACGCCAAGAGCTGCAGAAGGACATTGCACAGCAGAAATTATGCTTGCACATTGGTTCCAGGCAAAGGATCGCATGACGACCAACAGAGGTCACAGGAGCATGACCGGCTTTTGCCCCCTTTGCAAGCTGAAGGACCTCACCTGCCACCTCTTCGCCTTCGAGAGGAGACCGAGGTGGACAATGACTTGCACATGTTCCTCATGGAGACCTTCCTCGACCTGGAGAATGTGGAGACCGCGATTCAGCACATCATGGAGGAGATGGCGAGGCGTCCTACTTCCTGGACTACCTGGACTGCGACGCTTCGCTACTTCGTGGACACCTTGGACGAGAACGACGCGCAGAGTTGGCCGGTCCAGCACAATATTGTGCAAGACCGCCTTCGGGCCCTGCTGGACCCGAGCTGCTGGAATTTGGACAGGCCGATGGTTAAGCCGTCTCAGAGCTTGGAGGACCTGGAACAAGAGTGCAGAGACGTTGCTGTCACTGACTGGTCCGGGGCATCTTGTGTGCCCAGAGACTTTTGCAGACATCGGGTCTTCCTGCACATCTTTTCTGGAAGGCGCCGTCCAGGCGACGTGCAATTTTTCCTGGACCGCATGGACAGCCCAAGCCACTATGTCCTCCACGTCGTGAGCATGGATGTGATCGTGGACAAAGTATGGGGAGACGCCATGGCCGTAGGCACACGTGACTATTGGCAGAAAGCGGCGCTGCATGGTTTCGTGGTCGCCTTTCTGGCAGGCCCACCATGCGAAACATGGTCGAAGGCACGTGGACAAGGCATTGCCCTGGACAAGAGCCGTAGGCTCCCAAGAATCCTTCGTTCAGCTGAGCATCTCTGGGGGCTTCCCAGCTTGGCGCTCAAAGAAATGGCTCAGGTGCTGACGGGGAACCAGCTGCTCACCTTCTCCCTGCTGATGGCGGCCACCATGGTACAGACTGGAGGCTGCGGAGCTCTTGAACATCCGGCTGAGCCAGATGATGACATGGCTGCTTCCATTTGGAAGCTGCCGACAGTGCTGGCACTGCTCCAAGCCCCTCGTGTCTGCCGACACAGGCTGGCGCAAGGGCTTTTTGGTGCACCATCTGCGAAGGCTACCGATTTGATGCTCATCAACCTGCCGGACATCGTGTACGACCTACGACAGTGGATGACCCGCAGAGAATTGCCACGAGGCTCTTCAATCGGCCTGACAGCCGAAGGCCAGTGGCGCACAGGCATACTCAAAGAGTATCCCCCTGCTATGTGCGGAGCACTAGCATCTTCCTTCCGTCGGGCAATTGATCGGATCCCGACGACGGCTGGTGTAGAGCCAACAGCGACAGATGTCACGCTATGGGAGTCACTTACAGTGACACAGTACAGCACCCATTTTGGAGCGGACTATGTACGCTGAAGTTCCACCGCGAATTCACAGAGACCTGCATTGGCCGCGGCACAGAGCAGCATTGGGCCAGGAGGGAAAAAAATGTGTGTGTGTGTATATCCATCCCATCTCTCATATTGCTCCGAAAATGGAGTGGCTCCAATTCCAAGGGCTTTAAATTGCAAGTTTCAAACGTCGCTTTGTTATTTGATGGCCATGAAACGCACTCAAATGGGGAGATTTATCCCATCCATCTCTGGCCTTCTGCCGAGCGGGTTTCTCCAAGTCCGTCTGGGTCAGGCGGATCAGATCCAGCAACAGCTCTTGCTGCTGGCGCCACGCTCGCTCGACCTGGTGCTGACAATATGGCCTGGCAACTAGGGTTTCCTTGGGGATCAACCACCAACCGCCAAGGGTTTATTGACCATCACTCTTGGGGCGTCACCGGTTGAATCCCCAAAACATCCCAAAACCATCTACGGCGAAGCGCCTTCTTCGGTCTCGTATCTTCAGGGTCGCCGTCCTCGTCATCCGTGTCCGACCCCTGAAAGGCATCCTCCACCAGCTGGACCCAGCTGATCAGCCTTGGGGATTCGACGTTGGCAGCGCAGGGATGGGAAACAAATGGAAGAAAATAGCAAGGCATGGATTCTTGCTATTTTGTGGGGAGTCAAAAAAACATGCACACATATTACGTAAAAATAAAATATGTATATTATATCACCCCTACCTAAGCTAGGGGCCCCCGTGCCCCCAAAAAAGTAATTTCCAAAATTATTTCCCGGGGGGGGTGACCTTTGCTATATTTCAGATCCTTAGGTGCAGTTACCCGGAAATAATTTCCAGAAACAGACCCCCCTAATATAAGCCAAAATCCATGAAATTATTTCAATGTCCTTCCACCTAATAATTTTGATGGGGTTCACCTCTCAGAGTCTCAGAGGAGCCACTTTGTAAAGGACATGCCATGGGATAGACTTGCAACAACTGGCTGTTGAGCTTCGTGCAAACCGCGCGCAACACAGCTAAAATAGATTCAAATTGATCGAAACCACTAACATTGATGCCAAGAAAACAGGCGCTGGTTATTCTTGACACTGATGACCACAAACCAGCAATCCTGCGATAGGCTCAACAAAAATTATTCCGAAATAATTGTTTGGCACCTGACCCCTTGTTGGAAAATTATTTTGATGGGGTCCGACCCCGGTAATCAATTTTCAGCCCCGAAATTATTTTGGCATGGTTTGACCTATGCCAGAACTGTATATATATATGTGGTTCTTGCATGAAATTTATAATTACGTCTGAAAATTTATTTTGGTACGTGACCCCTCCCCCACTGAAATAATATAGCTAAGGTAGCAGTGATTATATATATATATATATTGTGTGTGTGATTTCTCGTCTATACAGTATATACATGTATATACATGTATATACATGTATATACATGTTTACAAAAAAATAATACACATGTTTATGTATCATCAAACTGAGCGTGTTTTACATGGTTCACCCAATTCAGAAGTGGATTGCCATTTTTTTGGACCGGCTGTTGGTGCCGGAAGAACCCTGAAAATCTCCAAGCTACTGGATCAGCAGGGCACCCTGTGCTGCTTTCACCCCCAACAGCCATTGGCCACGCGCTTGTCCATCAGCCTGCGGTTTTTCACAAGAAAGCTATGGCTACAGTCGACAGTACCCAGATCTTTTTCAGAAAAACTGTGATAGAAAAGAAACACGCCGGAAAAAAAGACTAGAAAGTTCTGAAAAATCAGTGTTCCAATCAGATGTCTCTCTCTCTCTCTCTCTCTCCATCGCCGGTCTCAAGGAGTATCAGATGTAGCCGTTCCTATTGTCTCCAGATTCCAGCTCTGAATCTTCCACTACACAAAGGATACCCTTTCCACAAATCACCTCGCAGCCCCGCTCAGCATAGTCCCGCAGGTCTTTCATGGCAAACTGCCGTAAGGTGCTGCGAAAGGCTTCGATGCAGCGTTCCAAGTACCTCGAATCCGTACGGAGGTGGAGTGACACGTCGACGTGACCATTGACCATACCCTCTGGTAATTTAACATAGCTATTGAAAATGACCATTTATAATGGATTTTCCCATTAAAAAGAGTGATTTTCCATAGCTATGTTAGTTTACCAGAGGGTAGTTTCCATAGTTTTTGAGGATGATCCAGATATATCCAGATGTAGATTCAGTGGGTCCAAGTTGTAGAAACTGGAATCTACCAGAGTCGGATCCAGGGATTTTCTTATGGGACACCCCAGTCACTTCATCCAAGATGCATCTCCACTTTGCCCACCAACGGCAGGGCCTGGCATTTGCCCATCAGAAAACCATCAGAAAACCATCAGATCCGATCTTGGAAACACTCGAAGAGCCGGCCTCGAAGAAGGGCACATACTCTTTGCCAATGGCAGCGTGCAAGCCAGTGGCGTGAGGGCGAGTGCCAGGGCCATCTGGAAAGTCCAGGTCATACTTCTCCTTAGTGGGACCGAATTATGGACCCAGGTTGTGCACATCCTGAAGCTTGTTGACTGGTTTGAGCCACAGAGTTAGACACAATGCAAGCAGGGAAAGATCGTAAGATGATATATGGCTATGAAATAATATATGAATGTCATTGATATCATTGAATATCTTAGTGTCCAAAATGCCGAGCAACCTACACTTTATACTCTTTAGGCTAAATTTTTAGGCATATGATGTTGTGTTGGAGGTTCTGGCTTCCCACTTCACTTCAGTACAGCGGAGCTTCGATGGCATTGAAAAACTTCGGAAAGTGATGCACCACCCGCGCTGGATTGTTGCCATTGCTCAACACGTCCAGTAGGTCAGCCGATGACATGAAGTAGAACCGCGGGAACGCCTGGCCAGCGTTCCCGAAACTGACGGCTGTAAATGAAGATTCCCATGCTGGAAGTTGCAAAAAACACTGCTAAACCCTCCGGTCATGTTTCAAGGCATGAACAGGAATGAAGTGCCCAAAACATCCCAAAACAACCGAAAAATAATGTCAGCCCATCCTGTAAGCCCATCCTGTCACAGTTTTCGCCATCAAAAGCCATGGCAACAGCCACGCCTTGCGTTTGCCATCCATGAATTCATTCAAGGCCTTCTCGCACATCAGCAGTTGCTGTTGCGTCTTCTCCTAGCAACGGCCAGGAAGCTGCGGGGCACCTAGACACTTTCAAATTTCGAGAAGGGAAACCATGTTTTTTTGGCTAAAAAACCATGGTTTTTTGGGAAACCTGCAGGAAAAACCATGGTTCTTGACCCAAAAAAAGAGTGGCTTCCTGTCTTCCCATTCCCAGCTTCACCAAGGCACCAAAATCTGGTAGATACCTTGGACGCATATCGGCGATCCAAAAGGCAACCAGTCATCACCGAAGAAACGCCACGGAAAAGCCATGAAAAAAACCCTGGGAACAAATGGAACAACCAGGTCCCCAGGTCCCCAGGGGTGCCAAGATGTGTCAAGTCACTAGGCTCACAGCAGAAGTGCTTGGCGAAGCGTGCCTCGAAGCCCCGGCGCAGCAGGGCCTTGACGTCTTCGTCGATTTCCAGGAAGCGCTCGGTCTCGTCAGGGAGCTCCTTCTTCACCTCCTGGAGATGGTGCCGGGGCTGGAACCACAAGAGCCAAAAGAATTGGATGGGATTGTTAAGGACAAAAAAATGGAAAAAAAAAACACGCAATAATAATCAATGTATACACTGGTCCTGGTTTTTTTTCGTGTAGTCTATGCTTGCTGAGTGCAAAGTGCAAAGCCTAATTTCAGAGCCATGACCAATGGAAGAGATACCAAGGTTGTGTGCTACGGCGCCCAAGGCGCAAGGAACTGGAAGGATTCTCCAGCCGTCCTCTGAGTGAATGAAGAGGTTTTCCAGAAAGACCCAGGTACGAATAACTTCGCTCAAGAGCGTCGAGGTTTCACCTTGGACATGATTTGGGAAGGCGTGATCATCTTCCAATTGTGGGTCTGCCGTTCTTTGTCGTCATCCAGGGCTGTGGGGATGAATCAAGGAAGCTTCAAGCCTCAAGCATATCAATAAGAATAACCCAGGTACAAACAACCATTTCTCCCCAGCCTGATCATATCCAAGCAACTGATTGATGCTAAGGTCTTCTGCCAAAAGAGAACTTGCTCCTGTCGCAATTTCCATCAAACGCACATCCACTCTGCAGTGGGTGATGGTGATGGTGATGGTGATGGTGATGGTGATGGTGATGGTGATGGTGATGGTGATGATGGTGGTGGTGGTGGTGGTGGCGGTTGATGGTTGTTGATGGGTGCGATCGTTCCAAGCATCCTGAATAATAATGATTATTATTCATAATAATAAACCCAAAAAGTCGGACAGTCCCCTGCCTCCCACCTCCGAATCGGAAAAGAACATGTCCCATTCAGAAAGTGAGACTTTGATAGTTTTGCCGCTCTTACGCGCCTCAAAGGTCGACACAAAGCGCGACGCAAACATGTTCTGCACCTGCACTTGGTTCTCCTGGCGCATTCTTCGCAACTGACTGGGACGGTCAATCTCAGCCACTGTACCACTGCGCTGGAGATATTGATACTATGGAACGAGTTGAGGTCTGCTATATTATATTGGATCGTTTGAGCTTGCAGCAGCTGAGATTTGCGTGCTGCGGTCCTTGGTGTTGTCCTAGGATCCCTACAGCTGGTTGGTGGCTTAAACCCAAAAAAAATCAGCAGCCGGGGATGCGCTTTAAGTATCTTTAAGTCAGCATTTAGATCTTAACTTTACGGACGGAAGGTGACCTGTACAAAAACCCAACAAAAGTGACACTAAGAATCCGTAGTTTCCTGCAACTTGTCCTTGATGATATCCCAAAACCACTACCATTCGTTTTGTTGGCGAAGCATCCCTGTAAAGCAGAACCATAATATCAAGAATACTGCCCTGGTCGTCCGCATATCAGGTGTTTGTCGCTGCATATTCATATCAAACCGCTGTAGCTCTTTTAAGCCACAGTTTTGAAATGTGTTCAAACCCCCAAGCGAGTTCTCAAGAAATCACCAGTGCATCCTTTTTCTGACTGGCCATACTATATCAACAAGTGTCCGATACCAAATGTTTGCCAAGTATGATTTAGCCCATCGTCGTTGCATGTTTTGGATTACCCCTGTAACATCATCATCTACATCCTCCCTCAACTAGGCTTGGCCCCACTCTAACCCTCCCTATTGATGTCGTCGTTTTTTCCATATGAATAATATCATAGTTAAATATTCCCCAAAAAAATGGTATCCCCTTGCTCACCCTGTCAGTCCCGCGAAAAATCTACTGAAAATGACATCCCGAGGAAACTCATCAAGGAAAGCTCAGTTTTCTCCTCCAAGGTCTCAACGTCCTCGTCTTTCAAGTGCATCAGCATGACGTCGCTGCCCTTGTGTCTTTCATACACGAACTCCACGCCCGACCAGATTCCTGGAGAGCGCCATGGCTTAAAAGTATATTCGAAAGAATGCGGCCATGCGTTGTTGCTGAACCCCCACACCACATCCAATACTGAAGAAAACCATACGCTTCATACTCGACTCTGTAGTCTTGCTGAGTGTTATCTCATGATGATTTGTCGGACACGTTGCCTCCAGTATGCCCAGCTGGTTAATATTGCCATTAGTTCTTGCTTAGTATCCCCTATCCCAATCTTTGCGGTTCACACTATTGACTACAACCACCCACACCAGTGGAAGATCATAAGAAATGAAACATGAAATATCCACTTTCGTGGCTATTTTCATAATCTTCTCCTCCAAGTTGACATAAGTTGACAAAAATATCATCTCATATCCGAGAGGCCCATGGCTTGATATCCATGGCTTAAGTTTTCCTTCCTTTTTGTTTTCCGCATCCATCTGGGTAAATTATAATAGTTCACTCACCTGAATTGTTGGGCCATTTGGGAATGATTTCCCTCAACCAGGATTTCCAGGGTTCGGGAGAACAGTGAGGTCGTGATGAAATTTACCCAGATCCATGGTCCATTTTCATGGTCCATTCGTGGTCCATAAAACAAGCATCGTTGCAACTTGGCGATGGTCGCTTCCATTTTGGCCTCCTGCTTCGCTTGTTCGCCAATCTCTTCGACCTCCTGCACTGGATGATCCCGCTGGGATCCCAAAGATTCGGCGAAGATTTTGGGGCTGGGGGAAAGACGCAGATGGCTGATATAATATATATATTTATGTGATATGATATGTATGATATAAATTAAAAATTATTAATAATTATCATATGTTCAATGTGATAAAGCCAGTAGATATGATCATCAATACCAGTTCAATATCATTAACTTACCCAAGTTGGATGCTGTTGGGGGTATTAGAGCCATACCCGGAAACCATCTTTTGTTCGTGGGCTTACCACAAGAGGTTTTCATGGAATGATCCTCTTACTGATACTGTAGCACCCATCTTGGCTGCAAGCGGTCGTGTGCCTGCGGGTGCTTGTACAGCTCGAGTGTCCACATATCACGGAGCAACAGTTCTCTGATCTTCGTAACGTCCACGGACTTTCCTCATTTCAGGAACATGCGTTGGCACCTGATGGGTCCATAGGAAGGTTTGAATATGTCTGACATATGCTGCAAGACATCGCAAGACCCATCCTCGAACATCTAGTCATACCATTCCACATGCAGGATGTTGCTTCATTATTACATATTATTACCATTCCTGCCCAAAAAAATCTGCCCAAATCAATCGACATGTCTTGTTCCCCAAAAAAAATCAACCCAAATCATCCCAAATCACATAATAGAAATATATAAGTGTTCAACATGTTTCAACCTTGGCCCCTTTTCCACCCCCGGAGTCACACCTTTCCAAGGCTCTGCAGAGGTTCACCAAGGCGGTCCAGTGCCGGGGCCGCATGGAAGGGTCCAACAACTCGGCGACCAACGGGCAGAAGATCACCTGGTGAGATCAACTAATGGCTGGTTGGTGGTTTTAACATGTTTTAACCATCTTGAAAAATATTAGTCGAATGGGATTATTGTTCCGAATATCTGGGAAAATAAAAAATGTTCCAACCTATATTAGTTAACCATGGGTCATTAAATGTCCCCATTGAACATCACCCAACCATGAATGGTATATGGTCAACCAAATGGCTACTTTTTCAGGTGATGTCCTTTATATTCCCAAAATGGGACATTTACCAACCCCTGTTAACCATCTTGAAAAATATTAGTCAAATGGGATTATTGTTCCGAATATCTGGGAAAATAAAAAAAATATTAGTCCTAATGGGATTAGATGGAATCTACTTTGGGATTAGATGGGATCCAATATGGGATATATGGGATCTATATAATGGATCTAATGGGCCTAATGGAATCCTAATGGGACCTATTGGGGAAGGCTGGTTTTGCATGGTTTTGCCATGATTCTTTTTGAATTTCGAACTGAACATCTAGATATTTGTGTGTAAATTGATGTTAAGTATATAAATTCTATGCGAGCAATCAACAAAAAGGATGTCGCGTGTCTTCGGAGAGAAACAGAAAATTGCTGGCACCATTAAAACCAAGAAATGCGGAAACTGCTTTGTAGAAGAGTCGCCCATCGCTTGATAACCTCTTGCATTCCCACGTAGACATCGAGCCGTTTGTCCACCTGCCACAGGGATCTTTTTTCGGTGTGTGAGGCCAACAGTCCATCGAACAGCTGTTCGAATACTGGGACCATTTTTACGCATCATAAACCTTGATGTGCAAGCCGAACTAGAACCACAAGAACGTCAACATCATCAAACCGTGACAAAAAAAAAAGCAGTCCAACATCCTAGCATTCTAATTCGACCTGGCTAAAGCATCTTCCATCTGCCCTCTGGCATTGGCCCCGCTACTGTGATCCTAAGACCCGGTGTCCGAAATGGATCGCATGACTAGAGTCACTCCTCTATGAACCTTCCAACAAGATTGAGGTGCATGAGAAGTAATAGATCAGAAGTGATTAAGAGAACCAGAACTATTGCACATCATGATGAAGCGTAGATACCAGGGAAGTATTTAATGTCAAGTCAGGATTAATCAGCACCGCCCGATTGAACAACCTCCACTGCCCCAAAAAAATGTAATTTAAAAACAGGTGGTCCCCCTGGATTAATAAACTCTTTTGCCTGGACCTGATTAATCAACCACCAGTGCTGAAATCCCATTTTGTTTTATTTTCCAACTCTCTTTATGTTCAAATGGTTTCCTTATGCTATACTTAAGTTGAAACCTCATGAACACCAGAACCTATCACTGCTGATCATTGAAAATTTGGAGGAAAAAAAAAACTATTCCCCAAATGATCGATTTCTAATTAAATTCTTTATAAAAATCATCAGTTTGGATAGCTCCCAAGGGGTACCCCCCATGAGCCCATGTCCCCCATTAAATCCCATTAATAGTAACCAGAGGGTTCCCCTTCTTAATCAACCCCTTCCAAGGGGGCGTTTATTTAGGAGGGAAACTAGGAAAGAACTTCCAAGGTCAATCTGACCTTGTGAGGGGAGGTTTTTAATCCGGTGTTGCCATTATGTGGATTTCTCTCTGGTGTCATCTCGATTTTCTCCCGGTCCAGACCGGCCCAGTAAGGTCGAGTGAAACTGTGCCACCTTGTACTCTTTGAGTTTTTTGAAATTGCCCTTCACATCATCCTTCGGGCCGCAAGGCTGTGATCTGGTTTGGTCTCTTATGGGGTGTATTGAATCGTAAAAGGCTGGGTTTATCCCAATTTTGAGTGGGTAAAATCAAGTCAATCCCCATTGTTGCTAGGTCAACCCCCACTAAATCCCAATTTATATTGGGGCTGCAGTTGCTGGGCAAATCTCATGTAGAATCCCATTAATCTCCTGTTCATTAAATCCCATTCATACTGGGTAAGTCCCATTAAATCCCCATGGAAATTCCCAGTAGATCCCCATGGAACACTCGCCTCATTGCCCGTTCCACCGGTCCAGCGTTCCACCGTTAGGTCCTCCATTTGCAGTGCATCGACCGCACCCCAGCGCTTCACCAAATAGGCTTCGGTGAGGCGAATGCGCTCGACCTCGTGGTCCCAGAGACTTTTCACTGAGGACACGTCCTCGCGCATGATGTTCCTCGGCTAGCTGCTGGGAGCTGTTGGGAGCTGGGAGTTTAGCATGGAGATTTAAAAAAAATGGAGATAAGCTGATTTGTCAAACTCAACTGAAATGTGGATTGACCATATATTCTTTGCAATCGGAATCAGGTTCAATTGGGTGATTGAATCAAGATGCTATGGGCACCAAGACGGATTTAGATTCAGATCAAATCAGCACGCCTGCACCGTATTTCATTTGCCGATATGTATATGTGTGTGTGCATATTTATATATATATATATATGCATATCTATATATATATGTATATATGTATATATATATGTATGTATATATGCGTTTATATATATATATGTATGTGTATATATATATATATACGCATCATGTAATTACAGTTGCAACGATAGCGAGAAGAATGAATAATTTCTGAATAATAACAATGGCAACAGTGACTATATAATGAATCGATAGTAAAATAATAATATGCAGTTGATATATACTTCAACAGATTTCAGCATCCAAGTCCATGCGCATTTCACTCCACTCTCCAGGCCAAGGCGCATGATTTTGAAGGATTCCTTGACCTCCTCGGGGTAGTCGAAATTTTTGGCGATGAGAAGCCTCAATGGCAAACACCAGCAAATGGTGACTCAAAAAAAGAACTGAGTTAGATGTGATGATGTGATGCTTGAATCTTAATTTCAAGACTTACACATGTTCATACATGTTCCATTTCTAGACCTTCCGTTGAATCTATCTCTCTCGGTTCGGTGGCTATCTCCATTTTTTCTGTATCTATGCGCGATTTGGGCGTTTGACCTCACCCGCTTGTTGCCCAGCTGCAAGTCTTCCAATTCCAGGGTCTTCCTGAAGTTTGCGGCAGGGAGGGCTTGATGCAAAGTGGTGGTGTCAATTGGTTGATCAATATACTGGTGTGTTACAAGAGACCACGGCTTCCCACCCTCACATGGAAGGGTTTCCTGCACATGTTCCCTGAAATATGATTGAACCGAATCTGGCAATGGTAACAATGGGACCGCCCTTGAGAATATCAACAAACAAGAGATGGATACAAATGGCGATGCTAACCCATGCCACTACTGATATGAATAGCTGCTGGCCAAGCAACCCCTCCAAGAGTAAAGTATTGTATGTCTCTAGGATTCTTGAATAGTCTAAGCATACGACTCTCCACCAACCCATCAACATATTTTATCAACATCAGCTAATCAGCGAATCATCCGGGTTTCACCTTAATGCCATCACCCCTTCTCTTGGGCCCTTGGCCTATTTTTGTGTGTCCCAAGCTTCATATCCAGGTGCGTTGTCACCGATTGGATCCGCTGGAAGGCCAGCTCCACTCCAGATCTGTAGAAATAGTAGGCCTCTTGCTTGAGACCTGCATGATAGGCTCGAAGCGCCTGTTCGAAGTCCGCAATTCCTCAGTCTGTGAGGCAGTCAGACCTTACCATCGATATATGAGTCTTAAGCACTCAAATCGCTAGTGAGAAATAATATTAGTGTCCAACCCCCAATTCTGCCCAAGCCGCCAAAAAAATTGTTGGTGCACTAATTTTGTCTACTCATCAGCTACTTGGTGTCTGAAGGGTACCTCATCATGTCCCCTTCCGCAGAATTCTCCAACACCCTTGTAATTCGTAGGACCATCTTAAAGGTTTCCCAAGGCATCCCGCATTTTTTGGATAAACCCACCATTTTTTCCAATGAGAAAAGGGGTAGCAACTCGCCAAGCATCGTGTCTTGTAGACTTCGCTCTGTGCCTGGGGATGAGTGACTCAGCCAGTTCTTGTCCCGTTCCTAAAAAAGGGAACTGTGGGGTTGACATGGATTGAAAAAGGTATATAGGTGTGTAATGATGTAGATTATGATTGATTATGTATCTGATATCATATCTGATGTATCTGTTTGATTCTTTTTGCACACAGCAATAAAGATCCATATCTCCTACCAGAGTTTGAAGAAATCTTGGAAGGCTTTAAACTTTAGAGTTAGTTCTGGGAGGCTTTAGAGTCAGCGTGAGTTTGCATCTAGCAAAGTGTAGCTGCTGTAACTGCTGTACTTACTTCCAGGCTGTGGCGGAGAATGGCACTCAACCCATTCTCCAGACTTGTTCCAGGTTGACTAAGTCAACGCCGTATCTGGCTGAATTAGAGTAATCCACCAACCTGCAAATAGCTGGAATACTGTCATCTGGGGATAATTCTTCCATACTAGTACTTCCATTGCTACTCGCAACTCCCCACATATATCTTGGGGTGAGGAAAACCAACGATGGTTGCAGCCCCCCACCTGGACCATCGGCTGGATTGCCGTTTCGGTGGATTGACACAAGCCCTTTAAGTGCGAGAGAGCATTTGTCACCTGCGCTGAAGGGGTTCTGGCACACAGTCGTAAATACCAAGGGATATGCCTTTGCTGAAAATTTTTCATTCTTCATTCGTATGATGTATGAGAATCAATTTTTGGCGGCAATAGAAAGCTGGCAATGGACAGAATTTCCAGCAAAGAGGTGTTTTTGGTGCACTGAATTGGGTATTGCCATGGCTACTCTTCCTTCCCGGCTGGACCTTCTTCAGATTCTTGAGCTGCTTTTCCACTGGAACACCTTCGCGCTCGATGTGGGCCAGAGTCTCATAAATACAATCCTGCGGCAAAAAGGAAGCAACATGAAGCAACCATAAACTCTGATGATACCCATGGTGTGTAATTTAATCCTGTGAATAGCCTGGGTATTCAAATCCGACAGGTAGCACTTAGCAGCCTTAGCACAGCTATTCACAGGTCATCCATGGTCATCCAGCCATCATCTCGGGACTCCAGTCCTGCAAACGAATGAGCTCCGCCTCGTTTTTGTACATGTCTTGAATGTGATTCATCACCTGCTCACGGGGGGACAGCCAAGGCAACCAACCACGGGATCGTGGGTATACACCACTGGATGGCACTGGAATCTGGTTCAAGCATCTTCATTGGTGAAAGCTGAAAATATTTGAAAATGTAAAATGTTGACTTTGACCAACCAATTTCATCCAATTTCAGGAGTCTGTGATTTTCAGGTGCTGCCTAAAAGCCGAGTTCATCCAGATCATCTAAATCATCCAAGTTCCATTAAATTCTTGTAAAAAAAATCGCATGTCTCCACTTGGCAGGAACCCCCCCCGATATCCTCCATCCATTTTTGGGGAGCCAAGTTTTGGTCAACAGCCCGTGGGATGGGATCCCAGAGGGTCACCTTGATGAGTCCTTTCACATCTTCCTCATTCAGCTTGGCTCCTTGCCCTGTCTCTGTGCTGCGCTGGAAGTCTTCCTTCGGACGATTCGGAAATGTCGGAAAACATGGGAAAACTCACATGGTGTAACTTTGCAGCACCAGCCGATTTTTGTTGGTTTCTGATGGTTTACGAAACATGTGAAAAGATGTGAAACAATCATGTGAAAACAGCCAAAGTCAGTGGTTCGCTGTATGTTTTGACCCATGCCCATGTAAATGTTGTTGAATTGTGGGCATATGCACGCTTTACAGTATCAATCAAGTCGTTCACTGCTTTCTTCAGCGCAGTGGCCAACAACATGCGGCATCACAATGCAGGCTAGGGTCGAGTGACTTCAGTGTCTGAGTCAGCCACGAGTGAACATTTGGACCCAAGTACTCGTTCGCCCTGTTCTTGGCCTGCCAGTTCTGCTACACCATCAATGGTTGGCATCCCACAAACCTGAAGCATCCTGGTACCATCTTATATGTAGACGGTGAGGGTGACATCTCCCAATCATTCCCAATCCGTATAGTTTCAGCATGTTTCAGCTCATCCTTCGCAACTACTTTGGCCCGTACATCTTTTGATACCTTTTGTCCAACCATTGGCACCATCCATTCGCCAAGACACATATTGAATACTGGAAGCTTTGAAGGGGGATCCTCGAATTGGCCGAGGTTTCCCCAATTCCTCGGCTGTGAGTTTCCAGGAGTTTCACTGAAACAAACATGATGTTTGACGACACACCAGGCATGGGTCGCCAGGGCGCACGTCCCAAAGTTGGAGACTCCCGAAACGAATTCGTTCACATCATTTCGGGATGATCTCTCTTACCAATCGATTCAGATCGATTTCTGTACCCTCTGGTAATTTAACATAGCTATTGAAAATGACCATTTATAGTGGATTTTCCCATGAAAAATTGTGATTTTCCATAGCTATGTTAGTTTACCAGAGGGTATCCATCATTTACGGTGAAGACATGTTCCCCTTCGCCCCAGTGCCACTGCCGCCGCAAGGGCAAGGCCGGAAGCCCGAGCAACATCCACCATGCTCACGCGGATGATTAAATCGCCGGGCTCAGGGATGTATCGCACCTGTTGATGGGTGGGAAATAGTGGAAAATCTGGAATGCCTCCTCAAGAAATAACCATTCACTATCGTTTACAGATTTTAAACCATACTTTTCATGCAGGAAATAGCGTTTTCCAAAAATGGCCATCTGCTGGCCGACAAGAGTACTGCCGCTTCCACTATAAAAACGATGTTAAATGGGCGGGGCTCAGCCCCAACCAAAACATGGAGAGCTACATAGAGCTACCGTAGCAGGTTCATCCATTGTGTTTATGACGATATACAGCATGGGCTCCCTAGTTTTGTTGATGTTATCATGATATCCCAATTCTTGGCGTGGGCATGTCAGGGCATCTCCCAATTACCTGATTTGTCTGCCGATAGAACGGGCGCCTCGTACTGCCCCGTGTCAAAATCGACAATTTCATATGGCAATTCGCGCAGAGAATCCTTGCCCTTTTCGTTGACCTGCAGCCACCGGTAACACCAAGATGGCATGGCCCGGCAGTCGAGCACGGGCCAGGAAAGAGAGAAAACTCTGGGAATTGACCGGGTTCAAACGTGACCTTTAAGCTCATCGGCATAGCACATGCAGGCCCCTTCAACATGTTGGGCAACATATTGCTCCTGCCCAAAGAGTTGATGATCCCAATTACCCAGGTGCGAGTAAACCTGATCTTTCATTGTCTAAAGCCCAACTTTCCTCGGCCAAGAAACATAGACATATTGCACCTGTACAACCCATTCATCCCGTCCGGACTTGCGGTTCTCACCCGCTTGATTCCTGCAAGGGCTGTGCAGGTGCACATTTGAACGGTTCCAACTATCATTCCTTCATTTCCTCTGATCTCAAGTCAGTGCGGATCATTTCTATGTTCTTCAATACACCGAAAAAACATCTAAAATCATCTAAAGTCCGCGTATGTCCGCGTTGATGCCAGCCAACATACCAAAACAATACCAAAACTTGGGATCAATTTGCTCTGTACGTCCATCTTCGATCATCGGTGGCTATCACTTATCCCCCGGAAAGTTAAGAGCTGCAATGGCCCCGATGGAAGATTGGTCATTCTCGACAGGTCTATGTTGCCAGGGGACATGCTTCTTCCCTTTGCATCAATTTGTGCCATGTTCTATCCATTTCTCCCCTCCCAGGCGCTCCTTGCTTGGATCATGAACCTGCTGGTAATCTCAGCCTGCTGCTCCTGCAACAACCCTGGGCCATAGCACAAGGACGTCTCGGGCACCGTGTTGAGGAAGTACTGGTACTTGGCCCTCAGATTTACCCAGTCATCCAACATGGCTTGCCGGAATATCCCCCCATTCACTTCGATGATTTTTCCATAGTTCAGGAATTTTCCTGCTGGCCATGTTCGATTTCAGGGCAAGGAGCGGCTTGAGAAACAGCAACAGCCGAACAGAAAAAGAAAAGAGCAGGAAGCTGGGGGTCGACTATCGCAAAAGAAAAGATCAGAGGTGATGGAAAATGATGGAAAGGTGTAAAATGGTGGCTGTTGGTGGCTACAAGTGATTGATGCGGAGAATGACAATGAGCTGCTTTGAGTGGTTCTTTTGGCTGTCCACCGGACATCCTATGGCTGTCAAAGGTCCCAACTGCAAACCCATGGATTAAGGCCACAGTCATCCACAGTCCACTTTAGAACATTGCTCAGGTGGCCAGTTCCCCAATAAATTACTCAGCTGAAATAGTATCTGAAATCTCAAATTCTCTAATCAAACCAGGACTTAAAAAGTAACAATGGGTATGGCCATGGACAGTACACTGCTTTGGCGTACTCCAGGCCAAAAAGAGTTGTTAAAAGCGTAGCATAATGTCTACATGATCCGACCCTGATATGCATGATATAGCCACCCCAGCCATCACCCCATGGGTAGCTGCTGCTTGGCTCCCCATTTCATGGAGAAACCGAGAAACTCCGAACACGGAGCTTTCCAATCCATAGGGCCATAGGAATACCCCCAAATCATCCATACTATATGATACCATGACTTAGACCATGACTTAGACCATGACTTAGTCACTATATAATCTTTTTAAAAAAAACTCTGGTGACTTAATATTCACCATCCATGATTATCCATGATTAGTCATGGATAGTCTGGTGGCTTAATATTTATACCATGACTATCCATGACTTAGTTCCATGGCTCAACGAGGCACAGAGTCGTGGTGAAATCTTTCGTCCCCACAGCCAGCCGCACTTCACAGGCCCGAGGGCCTATGCCTTCGGCCTACCAAAAATCGCCACCAAAACACGGGATGTAGAATGGATTCCAGTACGATATATGGAAAATGGATGAAAATGGATGTTATATGCGGGTTATATATTATGCTATAAATAAATAAATATATATATATATACACACACACATGTGTGTGTGTGTCTGTATGTCTGTATGTCTGTATGTCTGTATGTCGGTATGCACGTATGCACGTATGCACGTATGCACGTATGCACGTATGCACGTATGCACGTATGTATGTATGTATGTCTGTCTGTCTGTCTCTGTCTGTCTCTGTCTGTCTCTGTCTGTCTCTGTCTGTCTCTGTCTGTCTGTCTGTCTGTCTGTCTGTCTGTCTGTCTGTCTGTCTGTCTGTCTGTATGTATGTATGTATGTATGTAGTGTATGTAGTGTATGTAGTGTATGTAGTGTATGTAGTGTATGTAGTGTATGTAGTGTATGTAGTGTATGTAGTGTATGTAGTGTATGTAGTGTATGTAGTGTATGTAGTGTATGTAGTATGTAGTGTATGTATGTATGTATGTATGTATGTATGTATGTATGTATGTATGTATGTATGTATGTATGTATGTATGTATGTATGTATGTATGTATGTATGTATGTATGTATGTATGTATGTATGTATGTATGTATGTATGTACTGTATGTACTGTATGTACTGTATGTACTGTATGTACTGTATGTACTGTATGTACTGTATGTACTGTATGTACTGTATGTACTGTATGTACTGTATGTACTGTATGTACTGTATGTACTGTATGTACTGTATGGTACTGTATGTACTGTATGTACTGTATGTACTGTATGTACTGTATGTACTGTATGTACTGTATGTACTGTATGTACTGTATGTACTGTATGTACTGTATGTACTGTATGTACTGTGTGTGTGTATGTTTGTATGTTTGTATGTTTGTATGTTTGTATGTACGTACGTATGTACGTACGTATAGTTGACTATATGCCATTATAGGTCTATGATCTATATAATATGATGTCATGCATGACCTTGTTTGCGGGAGAGTTGCGGAGTTGATTTCTCAATGATTGAGAAGGTGTGGACCCGAATCACCATCGAACACTCAGCCACTTTCCATGATTTTCTTCCTCTACATGAGTGCCGTGTGCTTGCACAACAAAATCCCAACACCAACATATACAACAGTTTGGTTTGAGTTTGGTTTTGAACTCGCATTCTTCGTTAGTTGAATCCCATGTTTCTCCTTTAACAAATCTTGAATCCCCTTTGTTTATCATCTTTCAATGCTTACATTAAATCCGCGTTTTTTCTTTGCTCCCAATTTTTTTCTGAAAAATCCCAGGCCTTGGGGGTGGAACACTCCACCACCTCGTCATCCATGATGGTTCCCTGCACCTCCATGGATTTCCCATTGACCCCGGTGAAGCGAAGAATCACCGCGCCGGGCACCGAGAGGAAGCCCACGCCATAGATGCGCACTTTCCTCAAAAATGGGATGCGCAACCATGGTGGGTCAAGAAAACGTGCACTGCTATGGGAAGGATTTTGGGGGGGGTCTTTGTCACACTTTGAAGATCTTTCAGGAAACTGGATGGAAACTGGCATTTTTGAGAGATGGGTTTCAGGGAGTCTGGGATGCTGATATCCGAACTGCACACTTATCCTTGCAAGCAGATCATTATTAATGGAGCTCCTCCGACATATCGAAAACGTGTCCGTAATGGCAATTCTATGCTGATTCCAGTGGCGAATCTATACAGGATTCTCTCTGTAAACTATGATCTTTGCCCAAAAAAACATGGTAGGTGAAGCATCCTTTCGCATCCATTTTGTTGATATTTGTTGGTATTTCCCTCCGGCAATTCATATAGCTATTGAAAATCACCATCGTTTATACTGGAGATTAAACTATATTAAAATCATCTGTAACTGGGCCACAGCTATGTGAAATCCCCAGGGCAGTGGCCAAGGTGCTGATTGCCAGTGATGGGTCCCAATGCAGGTTCCACTTTGACCACCGCATAGGGCGGTCCTACAGGGCCAGGAGGGTCGGACCTGATCCATGGAGTTTCATGGGTTTTCTGGGAGAAATCTGCTGAGGTTTGCTTTTTGGAGGCTCGTGAGGGGATGATACATGCCAGCTCCGGATCCCTCAACCGCCTCAACCTCACAAAGAATCCAAGATCAATGACTTAAATCATCCACGATCAGTGTGATTATAACACAGTATACGCACCAGCATAACACAGCTGGGATATCCCCAGTCATTTATGGGTCCATGATCCAGTTTCTAAATGGGATGTCGCAACCACCCATCTCCCACGGTCTCCCAGGGTCTCCCAGGGTACCACGGTTCCTACGATGGAGGAGACGCTGATCTGCCAGCAGTCGTCCAACCACTTGTTGGCCCATCCACCGTACATGATCAAACGGCTCTCCTGAGGTTTGGACATGGACCATGGGGAATGACTGGCTGGTTGAGCGACACAGGGCTCAAAGTTGGCAAAGAATGTGAGTGGCATCAATCATCATCATCATCATCATCATCATCGTCGTCGTCGTCGTCGTCATCATCGTCGTCGTCATCATCATCATCATCATCATCGTCGTCGTCGTCGTCGTCGTCGTCATCCTCGTCGTCATCATCATCATCATCATCGTCGTCGTCGTCATCATCATCGTCGTCATCATCGTCATCATCATCATCATCAACAACAACAACAACATGATCATCATCATGATCATGATCATGATCATGATCATCATCATCGTCGTCGTCGTCGTCGTCGTCATCAACAAGGCATGTTATCTGAATGGTATGAAAGGTTGCGCTGAATCTGTGGGACACAGAAAGTAAGCTGCGGCAAGCGTGGTGTTCACAATTCCATCCAAGGTGTGAAAAGCACTTTTGGACCTAGAAATAGGCAGAACGACGCAGAATGTCTGCACGAACGTCTCCTGTGTCTTGAGACACACTGCCATCAATACAGTAACAAATGGTTTAGTAACTGAAGCGTGGATATTGCCATGGTAAGAAATGTTCAACCTCTCTAGGAAGTTGGTTACCAGCAGAAATTACTGCAACCTGAACAACTTGGACCTTCAAACGTGGACCAAAAACAGACACCTCAAAGAGTTTCGGATGGTTCGTTACACCATCCGATTTTGTTTTTTCCCTGCATTGTTTCGCCCATTCCAGAATCCACCAGAAAGCCTCAGGCCCCAGACTCCTCAGCATCATACACCATGGCCGTATGTTCCCGCGCTAGCGGCCGCTCGAACTTGCCCTGTGACTTCTCGGGCTGCGGCAGTGTCAGCCAGGAGCGTTCATCGCCCAAATCAAGGACACCCAACTCGCGGTCCTGGGGTCCCAAAAAAATTGCCCAAGGTACCCGAAGATCTGGTGAAAACATAGTGAACCCCTTGGAAAACTCCAAAAATCCTATGGTTTAGAACCTCATTTGCCCATCTTTGCCCATCAGACTCAAATGAGGAGACGAATTTAGACTCCCAAAGTTTTTTTCGGTGGAACCTTTCAGAACGTTTGAAACAGAAACATCATCATCTCCAAACCCACGGGCATCTCTCAAACGCTCCAGCCCAACCTGGCTCTTTTCGCAACAGATCAAGGCCAAGCAACATATCTGCCCATGCTCCTCCCTTCACCGTGACGATCCGCGGAACCACCAAAGATGAAGACCCGCCAAGAGGGGATGGCCTGGGACTGTTGGTTGGTACCCATATGATGTGAGTGCATAATATACATATATACATATATATATATGTAATAATAATAGCAACAACAACAAGAAGAATAACAATAATGTATACAGATGTAATAAGTAAATAGTTAAACAAACAAATACAGTAAATATATAAAATAAGTCGTCATTGTCAATAATTGTTGGGCAAAGTTGAAGCTAGCCCTACCCTTAGTTATCGTGGCCAACCTTTTAAGCTGAAAACTTGTTTGGAGCCCAAAGTTTGACCCTCTCTCTCTTCATCGAGCTGCACACCCCGACAGATGACCACGCCTCGACCAATTGGGCAGACATGTTCCAGCGGGGAACACCCCAGTTGAGATCTACATCTGACCAATCTTTGTTCTCAACGTCAAGCATGAACCTCAGCAGCCCACAGCAAAGTCATGGAATGTCATGGACATGTGACACGACGGTGAGTCCAATGACTAGGTGGATTGGTTGGTTCCCCAATTCTTGCGCTTCAGCAGCAGATCGTTGAATTGCGAATCTCCATTCCATCCTCCAAAGATGTAGACGAAGCCATCCTGCCACCAAAATTGGAGCCAAACGGAAGGCCAAAAACGCCCTCATATCATACCCTCTTGTAAACTAACATAGCTATGGATAATCACCATTTTTAATGGGAAAATCCACTATAAATGGCCATTTTCAATAGCTATGTTAAATTACCAGAGGGTATGTCCTTCTATTCCCCACTTTTTTCGTACGTCCAAAGCATGGGGAAGCAAAATATCCCGAAATCCGTTCAAGATATAGGATGGCTTACTTCAACCGGGGAAACAAGAGAAATCCTGGAGAGACCCCCGACACCAACCACAAACCATCTCAACAGTTCTGAAAAAAATGGCTCAAACATATTCAAGAATGCCCCCTACTTGCATCAAGATTTGGGTGTGGGTCTTGGGGCACCATTAAGATCATTAAGAAACACAGTATAATGTACATGTTTTGTACCATAATCAAACCACCCGTTCGGGTATGTCCAACCATCGGGTCGCTGCACAAACAAAATCATGGTGTCTCAATGTTTCTCAGCATGTTCTTATCCAAAAAGCCGTCTTGCAGTATACCGTATACCCCATGTTTGGACTATGCAACCCGTTTCATAGGTCAGAATTTCAGGATTAGACACCAGAGACATCCAAGACTCATATCAAGTTGGTCCCATTTCTCCCCTTATCATATGCCCATGATGCCCGAGAAAAAAAAGATCTGGATGATGATCTTGGCCCATCCCCGTTCCCCCAAAAATGTCCCGGCCTTTTGAAAGGCCACATGCCCGCTGCGGGGCGCAGGTGGGTTGCCGTGGCAAAGCAGCTCTGTCCAGCGAAAGGAATCCAAGTTCAACGTCCAGACGTCGTTGAAAGCTTTCCTGGAAGAACCGGCCATTGGTTTAACCAGCAGTGATTGTATGATGATTGTATTCGTTAGGCCAACCATAGCAGTGATTCTACAGTGATGTATGATGATGTATGATGATGTATGATGATGTATGCGGGGATATCCCATGATAGCCCATGATATGGGAATAGAATGGAATGTGTATATATATATACATATACACAAATATACATATACATATATATATATGTCTGTGTGTGTCTCTCTCTCTCTCTAAATATGATTCCATATGTGTTTTTAAATGTATATAGCTATATGTAGTTCATGACTCAAAAAAATCTGGGGGTATCACGGAATGGGAAATGGAATTCAACCACAGCAGTGATTCTATGGTGGTGAACCCCCGACTTGAAATGGCTTGTGGAGCAAAATTTTGGGGGCAAGTTTGGTATGCCACCTTTAATATCCAATATCAATCAATATCATGTATCTATTGATATCTATTGGTTGCTCATTGTGAGTGACCAATAGATACAACCAAACACTGGGAAAAGGACACCGGACCTGGACACACAACATATCACAACATGCCATGGGAATGGGTCATTGCACCCCGCTACCGTTGAACAGAAGTGCGTGTTGGGGTTATTTGGCGCTTGCTCCATGTCCCTGTCTTGCTTGCGATGAATATCATGGAAATGTCATGGGAATAGCATGGGAATCCCATGGGAATATCGTGGGGAAAATGATGAAGGCTTTTTCTTCTCTATCTTCTCTTGTTAAGCTTGGATGCATCATTCAACAAACAGGATCTCGTCCCCTGCGGGAGAGGGTATGTCAAACACTGGAATCATCCGGGTGGCAAATCAAGTGACCAAGAATTGGCCAAGTGCCACTTAGCAACTCATCTTATCATTCTTATCCTACCAGGTCAGCATCTCCACAAGTCACTCCAAATCGTCAAGACTTTCCCATCCCCGGATCAGATTCCATGAATAACCCCCATGACTGGGCCCCCAATTTTTCGAGATCGCCCAGCGCCGAGCATCCGTTGGTAGCCGAAGCCACCATGCCCACCAAAGAGAACGATGGTATTCCTGGCAAAACATGCAGCAGCTGAGTGTCCCATAACTGACTGCGAGAGCTCCAACCTGAACTCTTCCGTTGCCTTTTTCAATCAAACGTTGCCATGAATTGGTTTCCCTCATTTCAACTGTCCCTCTTCTATCAGGCTTGAACATTCCTCAAAAGAAACATAAACCATGACAAGCTGGCAAATGTCGCAGTTCACCAGGACATTGCAGAAGCTGGGCATGGATCGAGACATGCACCTTTAACTGATAAACACTGCAAGCTGATAAACACGGCGGGTGTTCTCGTAGAGGCAGGTACCTCGGCAAATGAACGGGTCAGACCAATACTATTCCCATCCCAAAACCATGCAAAATCCATCAAATATAGGTGTCCTATGGTGTCCTCAACAAATTCTGGGTGCAATGGAGCTTCATGTCATTTCATGTCGAAGGTTCCGGTGCCTGAAATTTGCGCCTGGCTGGTTCTCCTAGACAGGCGCGATATCCTTTATCCATTATCTGAATCAAATCGGGGTTCCATACTTGGGCACGACACTCGCAAATGACCCTTGGAGCCCACAGGCTCACAAGATTTGTCAGCTGCTTCACAATCATGAGCCGTTATCATCCAACAAACGAATATACGTACGTAGACACTTTGGGGGAACAAAAAAAAAAGAAAATCAGAGCATGTAATTCCACGTGCTGAGATGATGAAAGGCACAAATGCTTGGAGACACTCGGGAATTCACCTTTTTGCCAGCCACACCTGCTCGTTTCAACCTATCCCAAGAATATTAGCCAATCAATCTCATAATCGCATGATTGTTCCTTAATCTCCCGACGGTCTCCCCATTTTCTTGCTTGTATGTGATGTCCTTTTGACTCGTCCCATTGAAATCCATGCAATCGGGAATACAGAACAGCAAAACCATCCCCAAGTTGTTGCTCATTATTAATAATTTTGCAAACCGCATGATTTACAGCACATCAGCCCCCAACCGGTTGATACTTCTGGATGGTACCTGTTACTGTAAATCCCAGCGATGTATGGAAAAGTTTCCCTTTTATATCATATATATCCCATAATTATACCCATAATTTATGTCCTGTTTCATATCCTGTTTCATGTAAACAAAGCAGATTCCAACCTCCGATTTGGTGATGAATCTAAGACCGAGATGCTGTGGTTGCTTCTGGGCGCTGGTCCCTTGGCTGTGGTTTCATCTTCCATCCCTGCAAGAGCGTGATGTCAATGGTGAGATTGGGTTGGGGGGGTTACCGGGATAGCTTAACATGGCACTTTCAATAGGGATGAGGATGCGGATGAGGAAGAGGATGAGGATGATGACTAGGATGATGAGTAGGATGATGAGTAGGATGATGAGGAGGATGATGAGGAGGATGATGAGTAGGATGATGAGTAGGAGGGTGAGGGTGAGGGTGAGGGTGAGGGTGAGGGTGAGGATAGGATGAGGGTGAGGATAGGATGAAGGTGAGGAGGGTGAGGAGGGTGAGGAGGGTGAGGAGGGTGAGGAGGGTGAGGAGGGTGAGGAGGGTGATGAGGGTGAGGAGGGTGAGGAGGGTGATGAGGGTGATGAGGGTGAGGAGGGTGATGAGGGTGAGGAGGGTGATGAGGGTGAGGAGGGTAATTACAGTGTGTAACTGGCAGCGCTTCAACCCACTGAAGTTCCAAGTCTCACAGCAGCCGAAGTTTTTCACGCCCAAGTTGTCTCAGGCTAGGTCGCGCCTGCAATGGCGCCAGCAAAGCAAGTAGCCGTTGCAGCTAAAAGCTATTGGCCAAAGGGGTCCCTTAAGCCAGAAAAACAACAGGCGATTTGAATGTGCACTCATGGCAAACTCATCACCTGCAGGCAATTGATATGAAAAAAACATGCGACAGCTGAATCACTCACATGCCCAAAAGGCTGTTGCCGAAAGGTGCGTGAGTTCGCTGAAGCATCTGAACAACGCTAAGAGCCCACTCACTAGATGATGGGGTCACAGGCGCTGATTGCATGCGATCCACAGGCATTGATTGCATGTGATCCACAGGCACTGATTGCATGCGATCCTCCTTCTTCTTCTTCTTCGCGGCAATGAACTGAGGATCGAATTTGACATTCCACGTTTGGCCTTGCTGTAGAAAGGTTTTGATCAGCTCTTGTGCTGAAGATTTGGTTAAACCATCAGCCAACTGGGCATCGGATGACACCCAAAGTAGAGGCGTGTTTTGGAGCCTCAGGTTCTCGGCCACTGACATCAGTTCCAGCGCCGCATACTTTTCTTTCATAGAGTATACCGAGCTCGCTGTTTCTCCTTTCATTGCAGCATCATAGACACTCTTCGCATCCACCACCAATGCAGCTGGCACCTGACAAGTCGCCAAGTGCGGCTTCCGAAGGTCCACCGGGATGCCAAGGATCTCTGCCCACTGAAAACGCAGCATCATCAATTCTTGCTCCCCTTCTGCCAGGGATTGCACCTCTGCCGCCAAGCTCGATCTGGCGACGCGGGGTAGTTTTCCGCTGCGCCAGCTCAAAGGGTTGACGTAGCCACGTCGTCCTTGAAGCATCTCCTTCGAGGCCATCCCGATGATATAACCACCAGTCGAGGCCAAATCTGGCCTGTTACCAACGGCAGCGTCGGTCCATCCAATGATGGCCAGGTCTCGAAGACGTCGCACATCCAGCTGCTTCACATGCACTGAAAGATGTCGCTGCGCATAGATCTCTCTGCACAGTTTGTTGATCTGGTGGAGGATGTCCTTGTTGTGCTTGGATGCAGGGAGAGCGCTTTGAAGCCAAGAGAGTTTGGCCGCATGCTGAGGGCCAGACTGCAAAACTCTCCATTGAGCAGCACCAAGCACAGCACGGCACTGGGTCATCTCCTCCTCAGTGACATGCTCCACATTCTTGTTCACCTCGATCTGCTTGAGCTCTGTGCAAAACTCGGAGTGGTCGAGCTGGAAGGAGTAGTCCGCCAGCTGGTCGATCATCACACCGCAATGCAGGTAGGGAGGCTCTTCCCATGGTGACCATCTGAAGGCACCTTTGAAAGCTTCCAAGCTTGCTCGCCAGCGCGGGTCTGTCACGTCGCCGGCAATGAGGAAGTCATCCACATGCGCTGCAATGAATCCCACAGGTTCTGCATTTTCTCCTTCACCATCCAAAACCCACATGCAAGGGTCAGATTTCAGCTGCCTCAGGTGGCAATCCTCTGTGGCCACTCTGTTGACCTCGATGAACCATTCTCGAGGGGCAGACACCAAGCCATAGGCAGCTTTGAGAATCTGAACTGCTTCTCCTTGAGGTATCCCAAGTCCTTCAGCAAGTTCGGGTACTGGAATGGCAAAGATGTGTCGTTCCTTCTGATTGGAAGTGCCCTGGAGGAAGGCGGATTTTGCATCGGCTTTTCCCAATCTCCATTTCTTAGATGTGGCCAGGTTCAAGCTGAGTTGTCTCGACCGTCTTGTCATAGTCGGTGCGGAAGTTTGGAGATCTTCGATGTCGGGGTCCGTAAACCCCAGCAGCACGATGCGAGCTTTGCACTTTGCCGTTTCCGGCTTGTCGGTGCTTTTCAAAGTGAGCACCCATCGCATCTTCATCAGCCGACCAGCAGGAATAACGCCACGATAGCGTTTGCAAACTTCTTCTCGCACCCATTGGTCCACCTCCAAGTTCTTTGCGGCTTGCATAGCCTCTCTCTGCTCAGTGGAAAGCTTTCCCCAAGAGACCTCAGCGCCTTTCTGGACGCTCTTTGCCGCAAACTTCGATGGGTTCTTCAGTATCTTTCGCCAGGCCTTCTCGTTCTCCGGCATAGGTATCTCCACACCGTAGACGCAGTCGTTGGCCTCTTCGAAGCTCCAGTAAGCTGCAGCTTCAAGTTCTCCCTTTTTCACATGCAGAGGTCGATCTTCCATCTCATGTTGTTTGCGGCGTCTCTGAAAGGCCACTTCTCCAGGTTCAGGTTCTGCTCCCCCAATCCGCTTCAGAGGCATGTAGTGAGGGTCGGTCATGAGCTTGTCTCCATCGATCACAGACTGCAAATCAGGATCTTCTGGAGTGGTAGTAGTGCGTGTAGTGGAGCCATGATCTTCCATGACAGCATCAGGAGGGTCTCGTGGTACAGCTTGTGGTGCGGAAGGTGCACTCGATGATGCCTCTGTCATCACTCTTCTCTCATGCCCACCTGGCACAGGTGTGCGAGACCTATTGTAGGCTCGTCGCTGGCTCTTGTTGGGCACCTTTTCCATCAAGTCCGCCGTGTGGTCATCAAAGGCTCCCCGCTCGATCAGAGCTTCCAAGGCATTGAAAGTCCACGGTGTCACCGGTGCTGGTGACTGCTCAGCAATGAGTCGCTCCCTCTCGCTGGCATGTCTCAGCTGATCCTTGTGGAACTTCTTCAATCTGCCCTGGGAGACCACCCACACAGTAGAAGCAGCAACTCTTCTTGTTCCTTCTTCCTGCACTCTGGTCTCACTGGCAAGTACTCGACCAGGTCCATACCAACGGCTGATTCGTAACCGAGGTTGGTCCACCAATTGGTGAGCAGGAAAGTCTGAGGGCTGCTTGAAGCGCTTGTAGTAGACAAGGTCACCAGGAAGAAACCTGATGGAAGGTTTGGTTTTGCTGTTAAGAGCCCGGGAGATCTTGGCATTGGCCTGGAGTTCCAGGTAGCGCTTCTCGGCACGTAGTCGAAGTTGGAGATTCTCCGCCATTGCATGTCCGCTGACTCCTTCTGAGGAGTGAACTGCAATGTTGTCCAGGTTGTCCATCTGCCTTCCAAACGCCCATTGAGAAGGTGCAAATCCACCGATCCTCGCCATGTGGTTGTGGGCAGTGGTCATGGCGTAAACGGCTCTTCTGGGAGGCACGTCCTCATTCCGCAGGAACAACTCGATCTTGTGGCGTAGTTCCACAACCATGCGCTCCACATCTCCTGTAGCCTGATGATGTTCTGCTGGCACTTGAAGTAGTTCAATGCCACGCTCAGCACAGTAGGCCTCCAACTCTCGTCCTCTGAAGGCACCTTCAAGGTCGCATCGAATGCGTTGAGGATGTCCAAAGTATTGGAACCAAGATCCCTCCAGAGCTTCAATCACGCTCTGGGTGTCCACGTTGGCATGGATCTCCTCCACATGGACCAGGATCTCGGCCGTGATGGAGAATCCACTCGCCTCGTCGAGCATGACCAGGTAGTGGTAGACATTGGAGTCGTGCTTGAAGTAGAAGGTATCCATCTGCAGCGTATTCCAGATTTTCTCTTCCTTCTCCAACGCAACAGCTACAGATGGTTTGCTGAATTGCCCTTCTTGACATTCATCGCACTGCAAGTTCTCTGCAATCGCCAGCATCTTTGGATCGGCATTGCGAGCAGCAAGTATCTTCACCAGTGCTCTGTTTCCAGGATGACCGCAGCGACGATGTAGTTTGAGGACCGTGAGCGAAAGTCGCTCAATCTCCTGATATGTCATCGTCTTCAGCGACTCCCGGTCGATCTTCACAGAGTCCAAGCCGTAGATGTTGTAGTCCTCCAGGTAGTAGGCCTTCATACATCGGGCTGCCAATGAGCACATCTGGGGTGTGCCACAGTTCCACCCATAGTTGGAGAGTGCTTGTGGCTTCCGTCACAAAGTCGCTCCATCTTGCTAAAAACTCCAAATCTGTTGCTTCTCAAAGTCCAGGGCTTCTTGTGGTAGTTGCCGTCTTGTGCACGTAGGTTGAACATGCAGCCGTCCAGGTTGTGGTCGACGTGTGCAATCTGCGCCCAGAACGAACGCACCTCAGGAAGATGCCACCCTTCGTTGTAGCGAGGCCATTCCCACACCAAATTGCCACCATTCTGGACGTACTTGAGCAGGATCTCGTTGCCATGCTTTAACAACCTTCGTGCTCGTTGTTTTCTTCTCATACTTTGCCACCAGCCCTCCTCGCTGATCTCGTTCAAGTGCTGGATGGGGCTTGTAGGTCCGCAGGGATAAGAAACCCAAATCCATCGTGGTTTCTTCTCATCAATGATCTTCTGAACTTTCTCCCTGCCAGATGCTTTCATCAGATCGCATCCATTGAAGAGCCCAGCCCGTTCAGCTTTTCCACCAGCAGCACGAACCACCTCAGTGAGTAGGCTGTTCTCCTCGCAGCAAAGTTCCAGTAGATCAAGTCGATCATCATCACGCATGCCACCACAAGCAAAGATCTCCTCCTCCATGTCATCAAAGTACTCCTGGACATAGTTCACCAAGTGCTTGGTCAGGTCGTTGTCCAGGTTCTTCACGAGGTAGTTCTCCTCCGGCTTGTGGGGCTCGCTGTTGTCAAAGTCCTGGATGTCCTCATTCTCCAAGATGGGTTCATAGTCCAGGTTATAGTTCTCCTCGGCCTTCTTGGTCGCCTCAGCTTCGTCACCTACGATGAAATCACCGTGAAGGAACCAGGGCTGTCCACTGCCTCCTCTCTCTGCTTTGCCTCCAGCTCCTCCGCCGTCTCGGTCTTCCGACCTTTGCGGCCTGGTAGCATCGAATGATCGTCCTCCTCCACGTTGTAGACTTGAGGCTTTGGCGGCATGGTAGCTTTCGGCGTAGGAGTCGGCATAGTGCCCTCGGTCTGTAGAGCGGCTGCCGGCTTGTCCTTGTTGTAGGCCGCTTTCTGCGCTTTGATCTTCTCGAGTTGGTTGAGGCAGCTCTTCTCGGCTCCATCCAAACCGATGTCCTTGTCCCGAAGCTTCAGGCTGTAGGCCGCGTTCTCCTGCAGCTCGTCGACCTGCTTCTCCACATCCGCAGGTAGTGCACCCGGTTTGCGGGTGAGCGCATGCGCACCCCATGATGGAGTGTAGCTGAGTCTCATCTTGCACCGAGCGCAGGCCGTCCAAGTCGCGTGGGCGTTGGAGCCCGATGGAGACCCTCTCCCTGGGGCTGCCGGGTCGTGGGACCCGAAGCAGGGAGCTCCGGTGCACCTCGGATCCCTCGGGTCTGGTCCGCAAGTCCGGGACCAATCGAATTTGGCGTCCTTGTTCCCCTTGAGCTCGGTCTTCGAAGATTGGCCCTTCTCCTTGGCCTTGTTGCCACTGGACGACATGGCACCAGCTGTCGGAGGTCGCGAGCAAAGGGGCAGTCGCTAGCCAAGCGAGTAGTCGCAAGGACATTCCTTGCTGAGCTGAGTCTGCAGGGTTTGAAGAAAGAGTGTTCGGCTGATCTTCAAGTCTGACAGCAAAAATGTTGGTCAACCATTCATCACGTTGACTTTCATCTAACCTTGAAAATTCACCTCTTTCACCTTCACTCATCAACTGCATGCATGTTTCAACGTTCCACGTTTCACAGCTTTCGGTTAGTGACATGTCTGAATCACCATGAAAAACTCCATGTACCATGTTGGGATCTTCATGACAAACGTGAAAATGCATGTTGTGATCTCCATGAAATACGTGATGACTCGTGCACTGATCTTCATGACAAACTGCTTGACCTCTCTCTCCCTCAACCTCATGAACCATGTAAGCCGTATTTGCAGACTGGACCCTTTTCTCCTCGACAGGAATGTCCGAGTGGAAGAAGCTCCGTGATCCTCCCTGTAACCAGTTGTCGCAGAGATCAATCAACAAATGACCTGTTGAAGATTTCTTGAGAGGTATCATCAGAGCTGCATCAACTGTTTTGAGGACCATCACACTCCGGCTACAATTTACAATCGCCCCTAGCTTGTCTAAGCTACGGATTCCCAGGAGGAGTGGCACGCCTGGGGCATCGATTGTGAAAGCACCGAGTGAGATGTGATGCTTTCCAAGTGTTTGAGGGATCAGTACAAAGCTCTCTGATGTTTGCGTTTGCCCATTTCCAAACCTGAAAACTTTTGGGGGGCGATCCACAACTTGAAGTCTTTCCTCACCAAAACGTTGTCTTCTCTTGTTGAGTACAAATTCTAAAGCTTCCAAGGATGTGATGGTTTCAGTGGCTCCTGTGTCTAAAACTGCAAATCCTTCTAAGTCAGGTTGCTGCACGTGTCCGATCAGGGACGGCACGGTGCCAGGAACATTCTGGCCGTAGGCCTCCACAGGGGCTGCATAGATGTTCTCCACCGAAGAGGATGCCATTGACGCCACCATGTAAATACCACCACCTTTGCCAGCCTTGTTGGAACTCTTCTTGGGGCAGTTCCTGAACTCGTGATCGCGGCTGCCACAAATGAAGCAACCAGAATAGTTCGGAGAGCCCACTGTTGCCATTGCATCCGCTGTCATCGCAGCACCACCTTTGCCCTTGGAAGACGAGGAAGATGAAGTTGGTCGCGGCTTGCCCTTCTTGCCCTTGAACTTGCCCTTGGTGGGGTAGAAGCCACGATTCATCACCTTGTCACGCATGAGGTTGCGGCTCTCTGCAAAGGTCCGCAACTTGCCTTCATAGGCTGCGTAGGCTTCTGACAGCTCCTTTTGTTGGTCCTCCGTGAAGAAGGCATGTTGTTGGGCAGATTCCCAATCACTCCAGGACCAGTAGACACCATAGGAGTCTTGGGTGTAGTACTCGCCCGTGTCGGTGTCTCGCTCCCACCAGGTTTGGCCACCGTCAGCATCTTGAAACCAAACTCCGTCATCTTGTCCACCATACGCCGATGTCATAGTCGAGGATGTAGAGCTCAGAACGCCATAGTTCGAAGCCAGCTCCTGAGTGCCACCAATCCAGTGGACATCAGAAGTCCAATCATCCATGTCCTCCTCACTGGCATTGAGCAACGCCCATTCACCTCCATGTTCCATCCAGAAGACTGGGCGGCCCTTCTTTCCACCTCCCTTCGGATGTTGTTCACGGTCATGGAGTCGCAACTCTTCTTCTGCTCCACGAAGTCCACGCTCAATGTCCTCCGCCTTCAAAGAGTTGCCCACTGATGACAAGATGTTGAGCCGCTGCTGAGAGCTCAAAGCGCAGCGACGCAGCATCAGCCACCCCACCAATTCGGTGGGTAACACCTCGGGGAGGCCCGTGTCCAGGTCGTCCCAAACCTTGATGCCAGCCAGGATGTCCTCTGTGTCGGTTTCGGAGTCTTCATGGCCTCGTGAACCACGTCCTTTGCCTCTCATCCTGCGTCTCACTTCCGACTCATCAGCCGGAGAATCATACCCATAGTCCCGGCTGTCCTTTCGCTGGGTGTCTTTGGAGCTTCGGCAGAAGGTCCAGCGTCATCAGCTCGTGGTGGAGTTTTATCTCCTTCAGGCTCATCCACCGTCTGCTTGCTTGAGCGTCTCCTTGAAGAAGGCGATTCCATCGGCGAAGTCGGAGTCGGCCTCTGTGAAGTCGGTGTCGTCCTCGGCAATCTCGAAGTTCTTCCAGACCCAGGGGAACCAGGCGACTCCTGCGTAGAGCCCTGCTGCTCCACCCTTGCCCTCTTCAAAGCTCGTTGCAAGCCTCGATAGGTCTCCCTGACCTTGTGGCACCAGGATGCCATGCTCATACCTGATGGCCGTCTCATCTTGACGAACAACTCCTCCGCTTTGGTCCCAGCATCAGGCACTGGCACTTTTCCCAATCTCTGCTCCAGGAACTCGATGAGGAAACGTGCACCGTCAGGCTGCACCAGCATCCGGTGGTCGATCTCTTGGGTGACCGTCCAAGCTCTGCCGGTCAACTGGGAGACCAATTCTGGTCCTAGGTGCTTCCTCTTTCGGCTCCTGGTTTTCTCGAAGGTCAGACGGACCTTCCGTATATAGTCCTGCCATGTCGCAGGATCTCCATCCCAGGAGCACTTCACATACACATCTTTGTCACCCATGTTCTCGTCAGTCACCTCCAGGTACTGCGTCTCGCGCAGCAAGGGGTCTTGTAGAGCTCGTACACCAAGAAACTGCTAAGATCTGGTCGTAGGGCTCGAGGTCCAAGCAACTGCAATGAACTGGTCGTAGGGCTCGAGGTCCAAGCAACTGCAATGAACTGGTCGTAGGGCTCGAGGTCCAAGCAAATGCACGTAGTTGCAAGACCTGGGAACTTCTTGAAGGTGTTCAGGTCAAAGTACTCCCAGCCACACGTGTCACTTGCCCTGGTCGAATTCCACCTCCTTGGGCTCCGGCTCTTTGACCTCTAACCACAAGAAGGTCCAGGCAGCTCCGCTACCAGTTACAGTGTGTAACTGGCAGCGCTTCAACCCACTGAAGTTCCAAGTCTCACAGCAGCCGAAGTTTTTCACGCCCAAGTTGTCTCAGGCTAGGTCGCGCCTGCAATGGCGCCAGCAAAGCAAGTAGCCGTTGCAGCTAAAAGCTATTGGCCAAAGGGGTCCCTTAAGCCAGAAAAACAACAGGCGATTTGAATGTGCACTCATGGCAAACTCATCACCTGCAGGCAATTGATATGAAAAAGACATGCGACAGCTGAATCACTCACAGGTGAGGAGGGTGAGGAGGGTGATGAGGGTGAGGAGGGTGAGGAGGGTGAGGATAGGATGAGGATAGGATGAGGATGGGATGAGGGTGAGGATAGGATGAGGGTGAGGAGGGTGATGAGGATGATGAGGATGATGAGGATGAACGAGTGGATTTGGGGGTGCCCCCATTCTCAAACAAACCCACATTGAACCAGCAAAACTAGAGGGAAGAACCAACCAAGTTGGGGATACCACCCACTATGGCCACCAGCAGCTTACCCTCTGGTCAATCAACCTGGCTGTGATGGAATGGTGCTGAACAATTGAGATGAACCCGTTTAGCCAGCAAATATCAGCAATTCTCGCGGATGGTAAACATTGGAAGTAAGGATATCCGGCAGTCCAGCAATAGGACATTAGCCAAATTTGTACTAGTATGTCCGTTCTCGGAAATCGGATGTTCCATTGCCAAGTTAAACTACCCTCTGGTAAACTAACATAGCTATTGAAAATGGCCATTTATAGTGGATTTACCCATTAAAAATAGTGATTTTCCATAGCTATGTTAGTTTACCAGAGCGTACCCAAAATGTGTTTTATGCTTTGGGCTCCTGTCCTTTTACGCCTTGGCAACATGCCTGGCCTCTAATACTTCGCCTAGTTAGATCTCCTATAGCCAAGGCACTGAGAGATCCTTGACAGAGGACTTCAACAAATGTCTCAAGATGTTTCAAGCTACAGTATTTGCATAGGCTACTATATCTACTATCATTATAATTCATTATATACATATCATTACTATCATTCACTGATGATGTTGGACTAGTGAACTCGCTGAAGAACTGCAAGGTGTTGGTGAATCCCACTCAGCAAACTTATGACCAGGGAGGGCCTTGCACGGTGGCTGTGACCATGTTCAGGATATCCTGAGCAAAACTGCTGACATTCTGCGCTTTTTTGCTTCACCAACCCTATGGTGAACTGACCATGATCTTTCTTGGGCTATGGAGAGAATGAATGGAATACATGCCTGGAGGTTACTGTCAACCATGTCAAACCATTTCACACAAGCTTTTGAAGCGATCTAAAGTGTACATAAGTAGCTTTTGATATGCAAATTTCCTGGCCTCAGTGCTGTCGCTTTTCTACTTGTTCAGGGTTGGTTGAAATAAAACACTTGAAACTAGCTGTCGGTCATCAGCAGCAGTCACCTAACAGTACTTGTGTCGCTTGTGTGTAGCTGTCAGCATAGATTCAAATAAAGGGTGGAAAGGGAAGCACCAGCTTCCCTTGCAGGGGCCTTGAAGCTGATGGCTGGCTCCTGAGAAATCTATTCCCTGGCCAAACCCTATCTGCTAATCTAAGCAGCCAAGAAACTTCTAAAAACTGCTCTTCTTCAAAGTTGACCAGGCCTGCTTTGTCCTTTGGCTGGAAGCGACCGGGGCCCCGATTGGGACCCAACTTGTCTTTGCTACCTTGGCAGAAATGGGTGGAATGGGTAGGAAACGAATAAAGGTGAGCACTAGACGGTAGAGATTGAATAAATCAAAATAAGCATGGGTGGAAGCAAAAGGTGTGTTTTTGTTTTTGTGTGTGTGTTTTTTGCAACCCCACGACCCTTTACGTGTCGGCGAGCGAGCCATGCATGGATTTACCATGGCCTTCCTAGATGTCCAACGGAAGGGCTTAGACTATGCCACATGTCCCTTAGGACGACGAAAAACGAATTAATCGACACCAAAAGCTCCTAGAGCGGTGTCGATGCAAAAGTACACATGCAAAACGCCAAAAGAAGCTAACAATGGGTGAAATGAAAAATCCAGTGAGACAGTGCAAGGTGAGAAGCATGCAATCTGTGAAACCAGAAAAACTAAAAATGGCACCAGCGGCCCAAAGAAAGAGATCTCAGCTAAGAGCCTGCTGTGCCTCAATGCCACTCACCTGCGAGCACTGCAAGCCCACTCTGCCCAGCGGCAGCACCACTTTGCTCCATCCACTCTGCCCTATAGTGCCAGCTCAAGAACTTGAAGGCAGGGATGATGGCAAAGAGCCCAGTGGTGTCCTGTCAGCGGAGATGAGCCAGAGCAAACTGGCCTGTTTTTGAATGTCAATGGGCAACTCTGGATATTGAACTGGAAGCATGCCGTCATCGTATGCAAACCAGCGATGATTGTGAAAGAGGGCAGTTCTCCAATGACCACTGGTGGCCCGTTCTCCAATGTGAAAGGCAATCGCAATGATTCGAAAAGATTTCCATTGAACAGTACGTGTCTCATCAAAAAATGGCATCTGCACCAATCCAGTCTGAAAATCAATCTGTTGTTGACATTTACCTTGCACAGTGGAGTATACACGATTGATCGCGACGCAGCAGACATCAGAGGCCTCAAGAAGTGATCTGCAATAGCCTCGGGAGTCATGCCAATGGAGTACAATGTCTGTGAAAATGCATCTGTCTGAAAGAGGATCAATGAGATTCATCGTGATTGGCTGAAGTTTGTGTCCTTTTTCGTCCTGCAGCATTGTGCCCGCAAAGTCAGCAAGTATTGTTGGCTGCGGTACCCAAAGGTTGTTCACAAAAGTTGGTTCCATGAGCAACAAAATGTGAGAGGTAAACTCAACCAGATCACATTGCTGATCTAGTTTGTCCAATCCCCAATCGCCCCCTGGAAAAAGACACCGAAACTGTGGCAGGTCATACAAAGACACTGGCATCGGTGTCCATTGCGTCATGACCTCAAGAAGGTCTAATCCCATGTGCCAAGCCCGTGCAACCATGTTGAGGCTCAGAATGCTCACCCATGCAAGGCCCTGGAGGGTTGCGTTGGCATAGCAAAGTGTTTGGGATCCATTCAAACAAAGGCGCACAAGTCTCCTCACAGATGGCGGCTCAACTGTTGGGCCAGTGGTGATCTCTGCATGCCGTGGCTCTTGATGCGGCATTGAATCAGTAGCCAGCAGGCATGAAAAGTCAAATTTTTGATCTGGTGCCAAAGTTCCGGATTTGTTCTGGAGGATACTGTCCAAATCCACGGTGTTGCATTGGTTGGAGTCTCGCTCATCCTTCGAAGACTGTGAAACCTCACGGTTACCGTCTCGTCCTGCATCAACTGCAGAATGTTTTCCACCTGCTTCAGAGTCTCCGGCACTGCAAGGCATCGATCGTTGCTTGGCTCCAGGACTTGCTTCTGAGGATTCCATCGTAGGAACGGCATTTCCAACTTCTGATTCAGAATGTTGTGTTGCCAGCATTCCTTCACGACATCGTCCTTGGTCAGGGAACCGTTCAGACTGGTCAATCGATCCTTCAGCAGGGTCATCATGCAGACCGCCAGTTGATGTCGTAGTGGAGCTGTTGAGGTGCATTTTCCCGCCTTCCAAGTTTGAGTGAGTTGGAGCATGTCCGGAACTATGCTGCCCTTGCCCACATTGATGTGGAGAAGGAACTGATGTTCCGTCAGCATGGCGTTCAACGCATCCTCCTGACGGAGTATCATTTTGGCCATCAGTTGCATCATCTCGGATGCTTGACCCTGAGGGCTCACGGGCATCTGCTTGGTCTTCTCCGGTTTGTGGCGTTTGGCCGTCCTGCCATTGGGCTGCGATGGCTGGTTTCCGTTGGAGAGGGTGGCAAACAGCTTTAGCTGATCTGGACTCAGCATATTTTGCCAAATGGCGGCTGCTTGATCCAAGTCTGGGTTGCCCATATCGACCATGATTTTGTCCATTGCACAACGCCACAGAGAGGTTGAAAAGCGCAATGCACCGTTTGCCAAAATTGTTGGCATGTGAGGTGGCCCCACAATACTTGCAAGTTGCTGATGCTTGCATATTCACCAGAATTTGATGGAATTTCTCGGTCATATACTGATGATAATTATGCGAGGTCATGAGATGGGTCAAAAACTTGTTGACGCTGAAGAACATACGATTGCAGCAAAGGCATGTATGATTCATGTGTGATCTCATCCACTCATCATCCAAGAAAGGTTTGGCACATTGAAGTTGGAATACAAGTGCAGCTTCTGCAGGATCTGAGAGTGGAGCTTGGAGCTGCCAGCTGCGTCGCTCCCGTTGTCGATGGGCTGCCAATCTCACCTCCGCACTGGGACCAACGACTGTGGGTGTGTAAGTCACTTCCCACGTGGGGTGTCCCAAGAAGACAGCCAGATGAAGGAGCAAATTGCACTCACACAGATGGGCATACACTGAGGTTTGCATGTCACCAGATGTCGTGTGGCCAGACATGTACTCCCCGCAGAAGTCGCAGGCAGGGTCCTCGCTTTGCAGCTCCATGTATATGGAGGCCAGTTGCTTCTGATGCATCTGAAACCTGCGCAGATCAAAGCCATGTTGAGACTGCAAATGTTGTTTGATGTCACATAGAAGCAAGATCTCGTGACAAATGATACAGCGGCCCTGGAGTAATTGATGAAGTCCACGATTGCCCATGAGGCTCCCAATCCTTCGTTGCATCAAATGCATTGTCAGGACAGTAAGGTCGTTGTGTTCAACCAAGGAGTCCAAAAGATCCACCGTATCTTTGGCAGAATACGCAAAAGGCAAAAAGATCGGCATGCCCATATCAGCCCAAATCATGGAGATCTGTTTCAAAGAGATGCACATATGGTGATCTTCAGAGTTTGTCATGGGGTTACAGCAGCAGCCATTGACACTGTAGTAGAGCCACATCAGATAGTCATAGGCCTCATTGCTGCGATCCCAGAGGTCCCCATGTTCCAGCTGACAATGCGTCGCTAATGTCTCTCCATCCCGGCAGGTGAATTCACAGAAGAGGCAATGTAAGGTGATTGCCAGCCTGAGATCTCGTTTGCCATAGATCTGCTCGACCTGTCCATGAAACACTAAACTGCTGATTTGCTGTGCCGTTGTGGCTGTGAAGTCAGCAGGAAGGTCTTCACCAGCCAATCCAGAAGCCGGTGCTCTGACGCCAGCGTACCTCAAGGTCTGATGGAGCAGCATGCTATATTGGATGAAAATGGTGCACAGATGTTTGGAGCGTTGTTCAGGTAGGCAAAAACATTCTCCAACAGGGCAATGGATGTGTGCAAGCTCAATGGCAAACCGTTCAGTGTCGTTCCACAAGGTAGCATGATGATGTCGCAAATGCCTTGTCAGTGCATTCTTTTGTCCAAAAGCTTTGCAACAAATAGGGCACCATGTTCCCAAGTACTCCAGGATCAACGGGTTGAGCAGGAGGGTGGAACAATCATCGGTTTCCACTGCCTCAACGAGTGCTGCATGTGCCTGTGCAATATCTGTGTCATCATCCTCAGCTGAGTCATTGGCTTCCAGACTGCGATGATACCTTTGGATGTGCTGTCGTAGGCCATGCTTGGTCACGTAGGCCTTTGGGCAGAATGGACAGGTATGCATGGCTGTGGATGCCTGAGAATCAGTGTGGGTGACAGGTGTAGTGTGGGCAGCATGCATGGCAATCTGGCAGTGAATGATACATCTGTGGCTGCGTGTGAAGGAACATCCACACAGAGAACATGGCGATGTTGGTGTTTGGCCACTCTGTGTGCTCTGAAGAAAATGTCCATGTCTGTGATATTCATCAGGGTGTTCAGCCGCCCAGTGAAGTAACATCCCCCTTGGTGTCAAAGCAAATCGACCACAAAGAATGCAATGAGATTTCATGTACAAAAGAAGATCTGGTCGATCTTGCAATGCCTGAAAGTTTGCACCATTGGAGTATTGTAGGAACTCCACAATGAGCAACCGGTGCTCCAGCTCGGCAGCATGTGCAGCCTCAATGGTCTGGGTACAAACAAATTTGATGTGATAACGAAAGTTGGCAATTGAGGTGAATTTCAAATTGCAATGGCTGCAGGTGGGAAGTCCATGTGCAAAATCACTAGATTCAACTTGTCTTTGCTGGCCTGTTCTGATGCCATGCGTCACGGTGGAGTGTCTGCGTAGTTCACCTGGTGTGTCAAAACGCACATCACAATGTGGACATTGTAAGGTGGATGCCAAGTCTGAGGGTCGATCCACTTTGTCAGCGCAATGAATTTGTTGCAATGCCGTCTGCAGGACCTGTCGTCTTGCATCATAGTTGATGGCTGGTTGTTGACACAAAATATCATCTACATGAAGATGTTGAGATCTGATCCATTCTCGCCTTTCTGTAGCTTGGCAAAGATCCCACAGTCGGATCAAAGGTGGCAAAATGCCATGCTTGGCCAGGAAGTGCGTGTTCGAAAGTAAGTTCAAATGCACTGGTTCTCTGTAAATTCTTCGCAGTTGTCTGAGGCATGTGCGATGAAATTGCAATGCATGTGCCACCTCAAATCCTGTATGTATGAGTCCATGAACACTGCTGGTGTAGACACACTGCTGCCAAATTTTGACTCTTTGTCTGGGATTGAGGCCACGTTTCAAATGGAGCCACTTGTGCAACAGTTGTTGTGTTCTGGTGCCAGCTTGAAGTCTGTGTGTCATGGTCAGTTTCTCAGGGTTGAAATACGACAGTTTCACTCCCAAATACGTGTGGTTGTTCACAAGTTGAATCAAAGTAGTGGATCCATCACCTCTGGGGATTTTCAAAAAGGTTCCTCTGCTGTTCTTGAGAAAGAAACGTTTGTGTGTTTGTTGCAACTTGCGTCCATTCATTCTGCACAACGCCACTGTTTTGTCCACATTGATGGGGAGTCCGGCATGTTCCAAACAGTCCATGAGATGCCCAGCACGTCTCAGCAAAACAATGAAATCATCTTGACTGTGAAAAATATCATGTTGGCAAATGTCATCTGCAAAGGCAGTGAGGCAACGTTGAAGCCACTGCCATGGACTATATTCATGAAGAGCAACGAAGATCTGAACAAAGTACAATGTCCATAATATGGGCGCACATTTGCAACCTTGTCTGATCCCTTTTAGCGTCTCAAATTGTCGATACTCCCCTTTGTAAGTGAACTCAAAGTGCGTGTGATGGTAAATGGATTGCAACAAATGTTGTAAATCAGGGGAAACCTGCAGATCTTCAAGACCCTTGAAAAGAAGGTCCCTACGCACTTGATCAAAGGCCTTGGACAAATCAAGGCTGATGGTTAGGCCACCCATCAAGTCAGGGGCAGAATGTCCTGACGCAGCACGATGATATGGATATTGAAACTGTTGAAGCAATGTTCTGACCTGTGAGGTATGGTGCATCAATCTGCTGATGGCGTCAGCAACTCCTCTGTCAGGAACGTATGCAAATTGTGGGATCATTCTCAGCATCCACCACGTCTCCTGCAGCAGTTGTGAGGCAGCAAGTCCAAGGACAACCTTGCCAGTAGGCTCCAACAGCGCAATGGGGCGCAAGTCAGAAGGTGCCTTGCCTTGTCGGCCAGGTTTCGTCAAGAATGTCAAGCTTCCGTCGCTCCATTCCTGTGGCAAGCGGCCCACAGCACTGAGATATGTGAGGTGAGGGTGCAGAAAGTCTGCAATCTCAGGTGCAGCCATATGCCATACTGGTGCAGGTGCATATGATGGTGCAAGTGATTTCATCAATGGCAATTTCAAAAAACCATTCATCATGTCTGTCGTTGTAAATGGCCATTGAAATGATGTCGGTGAGTGAACCTCCTTGTCAGCATGATAAAGATCTTGAAGACATCGTTGAAGCATGTCAGCTTCCTGAGAAGGAGTAGCAAGTGTGCCATCAGAATTCCGAAGCTGAATGCGATGATTGCTTTGTTTTGGAGCAAGTGTTCTCACCGCCTGGTAAAGTCGAAAATGATCATGAGCACGTTCAGCTTCTGATGCCTGTTCAAACACACGCTGCAATTTGGCTCGTCTGGCAGTTTTGGAAGTGGCATTCATCAAGGTTCGTGCACGTTGGCGCTTGCAAACATGAAACCAAGCCTGTATGCATGTTCGAAGTTGAGAATCACCAGCAAGTTGTCGAAGTTGTTGTTCATGATACTTGAAGGCCTGAAAAGGTGTGAGATCAAATTGATAAACAGGTTCAGGAAGTTTGGCATTGAAATCCATAGGTGAGATGTTGTTCATAGCCTTGTGGAGTGACTGCAACGGATCCAAATCATCTGAAAGGTTGGCAACATCTGATCGGACTTGTTGTTGTAGTGATAGTATTGGTTGATCTTGGTGTTTCCAACGTGTATAGAGTTCCAGCCTCTGTCGATGACTCCACGCAGTGGTGCCGGTCTTGGTTGTGGGAATCCATGTCCTGATGAGGGATGTCAGCAGTGGCAAATGGTGTGCCCCTGTGGCACTGCGCATGAAGAACTCTGGTAATGCTTTGACCTCCTTGGATGTCTGATCAGCATGTACACGTTTGCAACAGATGTAGTCCAGCCTGGAGGCAACGGAATCATGTACAAATGTGGCAGGATTGCAATGTGACCAGGTATTCAAAGCCAACAAGGAGTGTTGTCGCAGCAAATCATGTAGTTCATGTGCGTCATCATGTATTGTGCCTGTGCGATTGATGCCCTCGTGATGGAAGGTGCCCACTCCGACGACGTTGGATCTGTGTCGCATGGAAGTGTTGAAGTCACCAAGCAAAGTTACCAAATTGCGTTGAGGAATGCGTGTGAGTACATCGTTGAGTTTATCCAAAAGTCGTTGACGGTGGTCAAGATTGTTGGTTGAATAAACATGCTGATATAAGTTCACAAAATCATGTCCTCTTGTTTGTCCGTGAACTCTGATATGCAAAATGCGTCCCCTGCCAACTTCATCCCAGGAGATCTGATGGGCCTGACAAAATCTCTTTGAGAGCATGCATAGAACACCACCTTGTTTGCCTGAGAGTCCGCTGTGAATGCAGTGATATCGTGTTTGTGACCATTCTGATGTAAACGGCCAATGGGTTTCTTGAATTGCAATGAAGTCAATATTTTGTCCATCCAGCCATTGTTGAAACATGTCCCATGTGGCTGGTGCCAGGCCTCCAGCATTCCAGGTCATCGCAAGAAGACGCTTGCGCATCACTCTTTTCGGTGGATCCAGTTGAGTTCCAGGAGATGCCTGAGAGATCTGCGGTTGAGATGAACATGTAGAGGTCATTGGATTGGTGAACAACTTCCCTCGGTACCATGTATACCCATGTAGCTCTGCACGTCGTTGAGCCCTGCGAAAGCTTCTTTTGGCAGTGGGTTTGGCATAGTTTGGTCCGGAGACCGCTTTTGGCTCCATTCCATGTAGTTTCGCAGAGGCAAAAGAACCCTCTGCTCTCATACCACCCATGGATGTGGTATAACCCTCACCCCACATCGTGTTGATACAACCGTGATCTATTGTCAATGTCAAAGCAAAAAGAACCAACAGCAAAATGGTCATACACGATGCTCGGACTTGGGACCGAGGTGCAGCTGCAAGTACTGAGTCAGAGATCGAAATCTGATTGGAATGCCTGAAAAACCTGGGTGGCATCAAAGGTCCGCTGGATGAAGAATATTGTAGCCAGGAGAGGACCCACTCAAGGGCGCGTTGGCCAGCAGGAGTGATCCACTCACTCAAATAGAATATATTCAACCAGAGAAAAATCCAATGAGCAACAGGGCCAGTGAAAAATCCAAAGAAGGGAGCCCACCCCTGATCCAAAGTGCTAAGCCCGATCGTCAGGTCAAAGTCAAAAGGGTGCAGGTAGAACAGCACAATGGGAGGAGGACGTAGTGCAACCAGGCGCAGCAGCAATGCTAGGCCACAGCAACGCACTGGAAGCAGGGCCAGTGCAACCAGCCACCACACTCCGGCAGGGAGTTTGCACGCCGTGTCAGCGAACAAGTACCAATGAGCGACGTGGGGCAATGGCTGCAGGCCAGGATTTTACCAGGCTTCACCTAGTCAGACTGAACTGACTTGCGTGCAGTACTCGCGACTGCAAAGGGGCTTGTGTGTGTGTGTGTAGCCACTGACTGAAACAATCTGATGCTTGGAATATACAGCATCTATCAGATCCAAGATCATCCAATTGGCAACTAAATGACACGTACAAACTCCCCCACACCAAGAGTTCCAACCGGAAAAAAACATCAAAAAACCCACCAACATTTCACCGGTGTCGAGGCTACTGCTCTTGACAGTGGAAGTCATTTGCTTCGCCAGAAATTTCTTCCAGGACTTTCCTGAGCGGATGGCGGGGGGGAACCCTTTGACATCACATGGTCCAAATGAATACCTTAAATATGTATATAGCTTAGATAACTATATTGTTACTATATATATATATATACATAACTATATCTGGTTGGTGGTTAACAGTTTCAACCAACCCCTCTGAAAAATATGAGTTCGTCAGTTGGTATGATGAAATTCCCAATATATGGTAAAATAAAATTCATGTTCCAAACCACCAACCAGATACTGTATATTACTATATACATCTACACAACTTGCGACACATGAAATCAACTGGCTGAAACCATGGGCCAAACTGGCAGGATCCAACGGGAGTCCAAACGATCCAAGAGGACCATCCCAAAGCTCACATGGAAAACTTCCAGTAAAAAACGGCTCCAGATCAGGAACAGGTCCTGTTCAATAGGCACATCATCAATCAGAATCATGTCTTCCCAAAGTGTGGAACATGATTTTCCCAATGGGGTTAACCTTTTTTGGGGGGCTCTACTGCTTGGTGGAAAAACCATCCCCAAATTTGAAGTCATTGGAGAAAATAAACAGTATTGTCTGTGTTTTCATTGTTGAAAATAGGGACGCCTGAAACCACCAACCAGATTATTATTAAAGGATATTAAAGGTGGTTTATCTTCATTGAATGGTTGCTCAAAACACAAAACCCTGGCCCTCAGCCGGAACAGCCGGACCAGCGTTTCCCGTCACTGTTCCCAGCCATAGGCAATAGATAGCTTCATTAATCCAGTCCCCCCATGATTTTCCATACCTCCGGGCCACATGGATTTTTGCTAGGGGCGGTATTCAACAATAGGAGGATCAGAAAATTGTTGGCTTGGTAAAACCTATTTAATCCACATTATTGCTGGGTGACCCCCTACTACTAAATAGTGAGGTAAACCCTGCAATAAATATTTAAATAGAGCATACCCCATTTGCCGAACATTTATGAGGGCCATTAAGCAACATCTGGGGTTTACCGGTGTCCCATTGGATACCCAATTTCTCCTTCATAGGGGATGGTATCACACCAATTCTTAGTGGGCAAACCCCAGTGCATCCTCAAGATTGCTATGTAAACCCCCACTAAATACTCATGTTGCCAGCTTCTGCCCATGTTTCTCTGGCTTCCATGTAGTTGTTGGTTAATTACATCCATGTTAAGTCCCATCAAATCCCCATTAAATCCCATTAAATCCCATTGAACTCGACTAAATCCCATTGAACTCCACTAAATCCAATCAAACCCCCATTAAACCCCATTAAATGCCATTAAATCCTATCAAAAAATCCATAAAATCCCATGGAACCCCCATGGAACCTCCCCATGCCAGGCATCTGGAGCTGCCGGTCTCACCCCCCGTTTCACCACCGATGCTCATGGATGCGCCTGCCACAGCCTGGCGTTGTGGAAAAGCCCATGGGCCCATGGGGCCCGACCGACCTTCAATAGTCATGGAAAAATGGAGGTTTTAATGGGAAAACCATAGGAAAACCATAGGAAAATGGAGGTTTACCCTCTGGTAATGACTAACATAGCTATTGAAAATGGCCATTGATAGTGGATTTTCCCATTGAAAATGGTGATTTTCCAGTTCGCTATGTTAAATTACCAGAGGGTATGTTTTGCCATGTTCTATCTACCATAAAAGATAGCCAGTCTAGTTGTAAACCAACTAATAAAACTAGTTGGTACAGTTGATGTTATTTGGAATTTATTTGCAGGATCCAATGCTTCGTAAGTGGTTAATCACCCTGGTTAGGAAGTCCTCTAACTAGGCTTATCCCATGGAAAAAAAACGGGTTATAACCCCACTTGCGACAGCACTAAATGGGATGATCCGCCAAGACCTTTTTTTTATGTAAATGCCCCCCCTCAAAAGTAGAAAACATCACCCAACTTTTGGGGATATAATCAGTGATATAAATGACCGATTTTTCACATCCCCCAACTAAAACGGGTATATTTCATCTCCAATAGTAACTGTAAAATAACGTTCAAAATCCCCAGGGCAGGACATTTACAGTACCAACCCTGCCAAAAAATCCATGAAAACCATGGGTTTCTGTCTGAATTCACCAGTCTTCGGCGACCCATCCCGATGATGCAATCCGATGTAGGGATTGCAACCCAAGTTGCTATTTTGGAGAATGGCTTCACTTTGCATACTTTGCTTCTCTTTGCTTCCCCATTTTGATGCCAAACCGCCACCTCTTTAAATACGTTTGATCAATGGAATCCATTTCTCAAGCATTTCAACATCCAGAATTCCAAGGCCTTGGAGGCTGCCATGGCCAACGTCTCGAAGTTCAAACCGCTCACGGCAGATCTGGCCGTTTGTGCCATGCCGCTCATCCGTCGCCCCCCCGTGGAATTCCGCCGCAAATTTCCTGGCGAACTTGGGGACTGTTGAAGCGGCACTTGCATCCGTGTGGTAGACAGATATAGATCTTTCCTATCTATTAACTTATCTATCTATCTATCTATCTATCTATCGATCAATCCAGAGACATGTTGTTGGAAAATGTGTGCACGTGGCGCCCGCCCATGTCGTCTGAAAATGCACTTTGTCATATACACGTACAAATCTATATACAAAAAGAACGGTATGTATATATATATAATTATGTATACTTATATATACATGCACACAAATACATTATATAACCAAGTTTTTCTAACTCTTTATCCTCATCCCTTGGAGCATCCCCCGAAACAGCAGCCGCTGGCTTTTAGGCCTTGTCCTATGACCTCGGCTTGCGCAGCGACGTAGGGATGGTCCAAGATCTTCCCTGACAGTCGCTTCCTCAGTCGCCCCAGGAGATCCAGGCCGTCCCATGAAACTTTCCCAAAAAATGGCATGTTTTGGTACCGGAGATCCGGAGTGCATCTTTTTGATCTTTTTGGGGGAAGGCTCCACCAGGAGGGAAAGCGATTTTGCACCTGAAACATCTGCCCGGGCATCCAGTGCGAGCTCTTCACTTCTTCCGACTGGCTCTTGAACTGCGCATTCTTCCATTCAAAGCAGGTGGTGTCCAAGATCCAACCTAGGCCCCGTTGAGGGCGCAAAGCACATAAGTGTACATATGAAATCATATGAAGATATATGTGTATACAGAAATGATCATAGATGTGTGTGTGTGTGTGCGTGTTGCGTGTGATACAGACATGCAATCTCAAATTGCAAAGGTTTGGAATACGCTACGCTATGTTGTTCATACTGGGATTCCATGCTGAATTTCAGGGTGGAAGTGTACAAATGCAAAATTGAGTTTAGAGCTACCTTGCTACACCATAGCAGGCGCAGCGTCACGCAATGTTTTTCTAGAAATTTCATTCAGGTGTTCTCTGACCATGACCAGTGGCACCTGGAGCATTTTAGGATTTTAGGACCAGAAACCATCATTCAAGACCCTGTCCGGAGTCGCTGAATGGATGCCACCATAGACAAACACCTCCATCAGGCAGGGACTGGGCCGGGAAGACTCCCCAAATCAACCGAAACTGCGGAAAATAGAGACTTCATCACTTTCCTTTGGGATATGTATGAATATGTTTCATACATCTGGGCTTATGGCATGAAGTATACGAAGTTCGCGTTCGCCTGAATCAAAGTATATCAAAATCATCCCATGCTCAGCAAGACTTTAGTGACTAAGTGGTGGTGCAGGTTGCAGTAGGATAGATTCAACACTGTTTGGCTGGTCCAAAAATCGCAAAAAAAAAACATAAGAATACATTAATCATAAGAAAAAAAGAAATAAAGAGAAATAAGAAGAAATAAAGAGAAATAAAAAGAAATGAAGAGAAATAAAGAAAAATAAAAAGAAATACATATACAAAAAAAAATACATACATAGAACTCAAATGATTTTACTTCATTCTATTTAATCTGTTCATGCTGTGGCCTATCCAAACTGACTTTGTTTTGACAACGCTGGCCACGCACAAACAATCTCAGATTTTTCCGCAGCACATCGCTCCAGAAACACCCTTGCAGCACGTTCGCGATTTCCGTTTTTTTGAGGAAAAAAAAACTTGTTTCTCAAATATGTTTTTCTCAAATATGTTTCTCAAACATGTGTTCATTTCTTTTCACTTTTGTTCATTGGTTTCATTTATTTTCATTTTTTTTCATCATTGTTTTCAATTCGTTTCATTTTTGTTCACTGTTTGTTCATTGTCTTAGTTTCTTTTCATTTCTTGTCATTTCTTTTCATTTCTTTTCGTTTCCTGCATTCCTTCTCGTGAAAAACATTACCAATCCAGACCACTTGCATGTCGACCCACTACTTAGCTTTGCTGACATGCGATGCTCCGGAGGGCAGTACATCCCTCGTTCTGTCGGATGAACGCCTGGACAGTTTGATGGGTCGAAACCGGGCCATGGAACGGGATCTCATTCGTCCATTTAAATCATTGAATTGACCGCATTCACGGCGGTGGATTCCAAGGAAGTGAAACCCAAAAACCGAACGCGTGAAACAACTATATACCTAGATAAAAATTATCATACTGCAATGTTCAACAGGGAAATAATCCTCGCGGATTCTTTGTCGTTTTCCCCATATTTTCCCCAGTTTTCCCGTGTTTTCCCCTTCCCACCCTTCCCTGGTTCCTCCAAGAAGTCCCATGAGACCTGACATCACCCTCCCGCCTCATCTTGACTGATGGAGACTGCCGTGTGCAAGGTCCTTGCCGGCGGCAGCTGAGAGCCTGGATCTATCTCGACCTGCTCCCACCTCAGATGCTGAGTGATTGGGGGAGATTTCAATGGATTTCAATGGATTTTAGGTGCCCAAGGTGGGATAATTTATGATAATTTCATCCAGGTGTGATGGAGATTTCAGGAAAGACCTCATCTTGCGACCATTGCGACCTAGGCGCTGAAAGGTCTTTCCTCCCACCTTCAACAGGTAGAGGTCACTATTCCTTGGTTGCACTGGTGACCGAGCAGAGACATGAAAATGTGCGCTCTTCAGCTCTATTTGAAATGCATTTCACATGGCTATAAATAAAGCGCAGACCTGCTGCGACAAGAAATAAATGGCTTGCAACATCTACAAAGTCTGTGCAAATGAGCCGTTTCTCAGTTTCCGAAGTGGCACAATGCGGTAGACTGTGATAAGAAGCCATCCCGACTTGAGGTTTATCATTGGATATACCAGGAGTCTAAGCATATGTATATTGACCTCCAAAATGGTGGTTCGCCAAAGATTACTTGTGGCACTGGATTTGCCACATGTGTGTATCTGACATGGGCTTTACCATGCTATACCCAACAAATGGTTCTCATGAACAAATAGCATTACATTGAGGCTATAGCGCATTTTCAGGCACGCCTAGCTATGATATGGTTGCTTAGATCAAGGTGCATCCCATAAAATATATACCAGATGCATTCTCCTCCAGTAAACTAAAATAGATATCGAAAATCCACCATTTGTAGAACATGTCCCATGGAAACCATGGGGAACCTATCAATTTCCACAGCTTTTTGTATGTTTACATATGTTTACTATTCTTTACTCTGTTTACTGGAGGGTGTCCTCATGATATCCCTAAATTCATCAGACATATCTAACATTATCTAACCATCATCAAACGTTGCTTACAGTTTATCTATACCCCATGATAATTGATACAGGGAAACGACAATGTCACGCCTAAGTCATGCCTAGCGTGTTTTTGAATGGCATTTACCATTGTAAACGCTGTATCCAAGAAGTCATGCCTAAGTCATGCCTACATGCTTTTCTGCATGGAACGCTGTCCTCAATAAAAGTGTAAACATGCATTTCAGACATTCAAAAAACATAAAACACAATGGAACGCGACTGGTGAAAATATTGCTTTTCTACTCTCTTATAATGTCATTCTCGTGTGCAACCTGCATGTCAACGCTGAGATTCTGCATCATTATTTTGTACTACAAAGCTTGCACAAAGGACTTCCCATTACTACTTTGTACTACAAAGCTTGCACAAAGCACTTCCCAGCACTACTTTGTACTACAAAGCTTGCACAAAGCACGTTTCCAGTACTACTTTGTACTACAAGCTTGCTCAAAGCACTTCCCAGCACTACTTTGTACTACAAAGTTTGCACAAAGTCCTTCCCAGTACTACTTTGTACTACAAAGCTTGCACAGAGCACGTTCCATTACTACTTTGTACTACAAAAGCTTGCACAAAACGGGTTACATATCCAAACTCCAGAGTTCCTATGCGTTCTTGCTAAAGGCACGACTTTTGCGAAACACACTTCCCCAAGGCACAACGATTTTTTCCTAAAACAGGTACGACTTTGTCAGATGCCTGTATATCATTAAAACAACTACCAACATAGATGCGGAAAAACCACCATTTGCAGATCATTTGTCCTAGGGAAACCCATGGCTTTTCCCCATATCCCCCTGGATCCATCCCTGGGCCAAGCTGCGGGGCGGGGTTGCCCTGGTCGTTGCGCCTGCCATCCATGCCGCCATAGAGCAGAAAGCCCACCGAAGTCGCGGTGATGCTGTGCCCCGCGCGGGGGGAAACGGTGACCTGACCCGAGTTCGTAAGCCTTGGCGTCCAGGGAAGGGGATGGATGGATGCCTATTATGTATATATATATATATGTGTGTGTTATATATATACATATATATATGTATATATATATATATGTATGTATATATATATGTATGTATATGTTTATACATGCTCTTGGCATTTGTCTATCAACATGATTTGTCACTTCATCACGTTTTTAGTAGGATTTTACTATTCCAGCTTTGGGGCTTGCCATATATAAATATATGAGAATAATTGATAATAATTGCTAATACCCTCCGGTCATTTAACATAGCTATGGAAGCCATGGCTCATAGAAAAAGATGATTTATGACTATTTACCTATTAAGAATGGTGATTTCCCGTGGCTATGTTAAATTACCGGAGCATGTCCATATATATATAATTCAGCGGAATTGATCTTCTTGGGAAACCTTAACCGGAAACCATTGATGTTATCTGCACGCTAATTTATATCATAATATGATATGATAGGTACATTTGCCCGGTGTTCTGTAGATTTTCCCTCAAACCATCCATCTGGGAATGGATGGAGCCAAGGTTGATTTTTGATTAAGATCTAAATCACTCAAAATTCCACAGGATAATTCAAGGGAAATCTGACAGGGAATGCTAACTTTCAATCCAGAGGTGCGGATTGACAGAAAGTTATCATGGCTGTCAAGTGTGAGGTTCATTGAGGTTCATAGTTCATGACTGTAATTACCATCAAGAACCAGCAATTGCCATCAATTACCATCAAATGCCATCAAAATGACAGAGCATCCTTTAAAAAAAACTCTCGGGTAATCGAACCTGGCTGGGAATTCCCAGCCACCACATGGAGGTTTTGATCTGTTTTGATATTAGTTTTGATGGGAAAATCATCATAAATCATCTGGCAGTGTGTCAAAACCTTGTACCCCTTCTGTTCACATCAAAATAGCTGGTAAATGGATGTTCATCCCACTAAAAATGGTATTAATAGGTATTGATCCATACCCATCTACAAATGGTGGGATTTTCTATGACCCAAATGGCATCCTTGGCACCTTGTCCATTGAAAGGGTGGTGGCATCAGGACAGCAAAGGTGACCGCATGTCAGGTGCATGCGGCGATTAGTTCCCCCTTTGGCGTGAACTTTCTATAGATATGCAATATATAAATATTATATATATACATGTGTATATATCTATGTGTGTGTGTGTTTGTTTTGTGTGTTTGTGTATGATTCATTCATTCATTTATACATGTAGGTTTATCTATATATATATATTACTATCACCTTTATCTATAATATTACCATTATTAGTTGTATGTATAATTTGTAAGATTGGGCTGCAAACCTGAGTCGTTCCGGAATGGAGTGCAGTGGTTTTTGCGTGCATGATTTGTGGCAGCAACTGCTTTGCATTGAAATGGGGGCCTCACTTTGGAAGTAACCTGAAGCCAAAACGACCAGCGGAGGGGCTTTGGCATCACACTGTCTCCGCTCAGAAACTGGGTGACAAGTGAAAGGAAGGAAAACGGCAAGCAGCTCCTCAAAACATCTGATCTAAAAACGACATGTTCACATCTACATTCGATGATAAATGATAAAACCAAATAACACGAAGAAGTGACATTAGAAAATTGTCCGAACCCCTAGGTTTTGGCCAAAGATTTCTGACTTTTGTACATCTTTGATCATCTTTGGAGGTTTCCAATCCTTGGTGCCATGGGGGCACCCCCCGCCATTATGGGATTTTCCACCACACCTGGGCCATCAGCTCGATATTCTTCACACTTCCCACGAGATACAGCTGCCCTGAGGTCATCCACAGGATTGAATCCAGCAGAATCCAGATGTTTTTTTAGCCAGGAATTTGTTAGTTGATAAGTTGATGATACTTGATTCATATTTGATTTTATCTATGCTGCCTTGCTCTTGGCAATCAAAGATGGTTGGTGGGAAAATCCGGATTTTTTCCAGGGGATTGAAGCTACACGGGTTGTCCAAATGGTAGTGGGGAGTCGCCCGCAAATGATGCTTTCAATGGGGAAGCATAGCAAGCAACCAGGGTTTCGTTGCCAAGTTCGAGTTTCCAGAAGTTGTTCTTATCTCGGGGCCAATGCCTCCCACATGCACATAGTCGAAGATTGCCTGCCGTCTTTGCAGGCTAGCAGCCCATGGCCCATGGCAACACAGAAAGTGAAAGGAAGACTTTCAAGAAACACAAACAATGAAAGATCATAGGTCATAATCACTGTCAAATGATGCTTGTCTTGCAGACAAAACCCATCCAAAACTGCCGGATTCTCCAGTTCTACAAGCAGAACTCGTCCCCGTGGCACCTGTGGATAGCCACTCTGCATGTCCACTTCAAGGGAGGGTAGGATCAGACACCGCGGCCTTGAAGGAGATCATTTTCATCCCAGAAGGCCCAACAATAGTAATTGATAACCGTGATTCAGTGATACACCAAAATGTTGGGTGGTTTATTTTTGTATTATTGGCTAATTAATGATTGGCTTTACCTCATTGCCCGGTAGAAATGGGGTCACCCAATCAGGGTCAGTCAGGCCATTCAATGAGCTTTCTTCCGGCACATGTTTTTTGAGCTGCCCAGGCTGCCCCAAAAATAGTTCCGTAATTAATCTCGAACATGGCAAAATTACCAACGATCGTCTTGAACATGTCTGGTTCGTTATACAAATTCCAAGGGTGGAAGCTTGAACACCGCCTGCACCGTGTCTGAAAATGAATGGGGAATATGAGTCTGATCAATGATGATTCAGGCAAGGAATATTCGCTGTGGCTTTCCCCACATTTTCGGAAATTCATGGGGAAACCATGGGGAAACCATGTTTAACCATTAGCTTCCCATGGTTTCCCCATCAATTTCCATGGCTTTCCAGATGGGCCAAGCTGCAAATAGCTCAAGGACATCAAGCGTCGCAAGAGATGCATCTTGCTCCAGGAGATGAGATCGTACCTGGTGCCACATCGTGGGTTCAAGGCGCTTAGAAACTTGGACCATCTGGGTGGATTGGTGGGGAAAATGAGTAAGAGAATGGAATATGGAACAAATATGCATGTATGATATTATAGTATGTATATATATATATGTGTGTGTGTGTGCACTTGCTAATTTATATTGAACTACAGATGTCGCAATCATTATACATATAATTATGTGTGTGTGTGGATTGATGTAGATCAATATAGATTGTAGATTGATATAGTTTTATATAGTTTGATACAGAACAACTGACAATGTTGATTGATACAGAACGATATCAAATGGATGTTGTCCATGTGGGCGAGACATCTCCATGCCTGACCAATCCGATAGGCAGCTACGGTATAACTTCATGACTTCGCTTCATTTCGGCATGTCTGTTAGTTAGTTGCTCATAGTCATACCCTCTGGTAATTTAACATAGCTATTGAAAATCACCATTTATAGTGGATTTTCCCATTGAAAATGGTGATTTTCCATAGCTATGTTAAATTACCAGAGGGTAGCATAGCCTCCTGGGGCACTCAACATCCACCAGGATCCAACGTTGCCGATCTGCCATGCTTTGCGTCGGGCACTTGACGTGCATGCGATCCAGATCCGTTTGCAGATGCAGCTGCTTCTTGCTGACCTTAGGGATCCAACAGCTGCCCGGCGCCAGAGAGGTTCCGCGCCAGAGATACTGCCGGGCCGGTCGGGCCAGGTCTCCCAACGCTTTGAGATTCCCAATCGCGTCCTTCGGCCTCATTCCTGGCGGGAGTTCATTCCATCTTTGGCCGGCGATTGTCGCGATGGGGCAGACTACCCTCTGGTAAACTAACATAGCTATTGAAAATCACAATTTTAATAGGTAAAACATCTATAAATGGTCCATTTTCCATAGCTATGTTAAATTACCAGAGGGTATGTCAAACTCTGAAAAAAGCCTCGTCCAAGCCACCCACCAATGACCGGTGGACCCCCCAAACATGTTGGAAAGCACTGCAAACGATCGCCATCCACAAAATGGCACCTCAAATGGAGGGATAAGGGACTTGGGGGCCTTACATAGTTCTGGTTTGGGTGGTACTCGATGGTACTCATCTATCACCCATTGCCCATTATTTTCCATACACTTGGGGATCACTTTAGTACTTCATCAGAGCTAGACTCTAGAGTCATCCAGGTTCGGTTCCATTCCACGTCTTGCCAAAGGACACTCGCTGCTCATCCCATGTAGGGCCTTGGCGTTTGAAAATGTCAGGCATTTCGATGCCATCTGATGCATGCCCCAGAGCCCCCCTTCAGGTCAATCATGTCAACTTGGCTGGGAGTCTGCTGAAATAGTGAGGATCATGTTACTGACACATGTAAGTATCTGTAAGTACTATTTGGGGATGGGTCAAAACCTTGTACCCCCGGTAAATGGATGTTCATCCCCCTAAAAATGGTATGTATAGGGGTATTGATCCATACCCATTTGGGATTCCCTGATTTCATGCAGTTCCTGGCCGACTGGACGAATCTAAGATCTTCCAAGGAGACCCAAGTGTCATGAAGTGGCCCACAGACAAACAGAAAGGCACTGCAGCACTTCCTTTCATGCCCCAATTAAGCCCCCAAATAGTGAAGCCCCGCAAAACTCACCAAAAAAACGACCCCATATATATATATATATATCATTCTATTGCACCAATTAGATGGGGCCGTAAGTATATCTTTCCATTTTTTGAAGTTGGAGACCCCCAAAGTTCCGGCAGGACATTGTTTACTATCCAACACAGCGCTCGTTGGGATCTTCGCAGGACTTTCTTCCTTCCAGCACCCCAATGGTATACCTTGGAACAGAAAATCGGCGCGGCATGGTTCCGAAAGCACCAAACGTGCAAGATGAACATCCTAGTATTGTTTCAACAAAAGGTCGTAAAACCCGTTCAAACTAC